CGACAAAGTATAATGCTACAAAACCGATATAAGGCAAATCTAAACCTATTAAGCAGAAAAAAAACTATGAAATTTAAACAAATTGAGTTGGTAAAATTACAGCCATCATAAAAAGCAAACTTCGAACAGAACAGGCACTCAAAACGCAGACAGGCTCAAAATTTGTCGGTTAGTTGTCGAAAGTACAATGACCACCAATTTCTGTCATCCTGTGAACGAAGTGATCCTGTGAACTTGATTACTAATAATCTAACCTAAATGTGTTTTTTTTAAATTAAAAGTGTTCGACTTTAAATTGTAAATCTCTTTCAGCGTGATTCTTGTAAGAAAAAAGCACATCTTTTTTCACGACAATATTCCGAACACTGGAAGTGAGGAGGAAATTTGTCTTCGCGTGTAGATTTTTCAAGCTTTTTCTCACGCCAAACACAAACAATTATCAGTCATCATGTGGTGTTACCTGATTTTGCGTGAAAAAAAAAAAACTTCAAAAATACTCACGCGAAGAAAAATTTTTTTCTCACTTTCAGTGCTCGGAACAATTACATGCTTTTCGTCACAAAAATCACGCTGAAAGAGACTTACAATTCAGGGATGAGCCCTTTTTATTGAAAAAAAAAACATATTTAGGTTAGATTATTAACAAAGTTCATTAACGAAAATAATTCACGATAATATCATTCACGGAAATCATTAATGGGGCTACAATTTGTGTGATTTTAGGATCGCCGAGAGTTAACGGGAAAGAGTAAACTAAATGGTAACTGTATAAAGCAAAATGAACGCCGAAGCGAAATTACCCTTTACATACACATGTAGAAATGGAGAGCATTGAACCAACAGTAACCTTATACGCTCCAGGCATACATTTTATAGACTGCGCAACAATCCCAGACTTCTGATAAAAAATTTATTACATTGATTTTCGTAGACTCAAGGGTTCCACACTTTGTTTTTTTTACATCAGCAAAAAGCTTCTCTATAGCATAAAATATCGCTTGGCCTGTTTAAAGAAAAGTATGCCACCATAGCGAAGGTGAATAAGCCAGACAAAAAAAAAGAATATAATATAGATTTTATTCAACTTGCAAAACTAACATCTGTATCAAATAATTGAATTCAAATAATTCAAATATTTGAATAATAAAAAGATACTGTGAAAGTACGAATGAAAACATTTCGATACAATTCAGATAGAACAATTTACAAACGAAAAGATAACTTCAAGACAGAACGATAGACGAAAATGTTACAAAATGCTCGTGGAAGTTCAAAGAATTCAATCTTTTGACTAAAATAAGTCAGCTTAGTTGAACCGAACAAATAATCAACCGACTGTTTTGCTATAATGAAATGACTTTCAAATCCACGAGCATTATTTTAAAAAGATCACAAGGCAAAAGGAGACAACGAAACTTAAAAAAAACAATCGGAATGAATTAAAATAATTTCTAAACTAAACTATGAACAATAAAAAAAAATGCCACTTAAAAGCAAACTGATATAGATCGGAAAAGGGCCAACAATTAATCAAGAGCCTGATATATGATACATTAGTCACGTGGTTTATCATGCGACCGACTGATTACTTCAATTACTCGTCCTGATTTGAATAGTCTATTCGATGTTTTCCTTTTCTTCGACTGACAGAAGGCCGTGAAACTTTTGTCCGATTTGATTCTGTTTTACTAACATTCGAGCTTGAATCAGCCAAATCAGTAGAATTTACAGCAACAGAACACTATTGCTGCTTGCTAGGGATATCTAGAAGCTCCTTGCATGTGAAATTTTCTTGATTTTTCACTAACTGAACGTCGAAAGACGATTGTTTTTTCTTCGATGCGTTTGATATTTCAATATTCCCTGTGCTAGCTAGACCTAGACATGACACAAAAACACGTGTTACTTCATACCAGTCAGTTTGTGGTTCGAATAACTCAGTGAATGACTTTTTCTGCGTTTTTGCTTGTTTCAAACTTTGTACAACTTTACGACTGGTTTGAGCAATGTCAAATTTTGGTCTTTTTTCCTGAGAGCGCAGTAAAGGCATGATTCGGTCCTCCCAATGAGAGAAGAAGGAACCCTGAGTTGCAGAGCTTTCTTGGCTTGGTTCATAGTCTAAAAGAGGTGAATCAGGTTGTTTATGGGTAGCAGAAGTAGTCGCTTTAAGATGAGGTTGCAAGTTGATTTCATCATCTTCAACTCCTGGAGAAAGCGAACTCCGTGAAACCGGAGACGGTTCTGGAGTCTGAAACCTAGCCGGCGGGCTATCCAAAATATGAACCGGAGACAGATCTAAAGGTGTTAAGGGTCTAGAAAGTTCCAAGTCAATAGAATGTGGGTTCTCAAATACCAACGCAGAATCTTCCTTTTTATTTGAGGGAAAACGCCCTATTGAAGCTAAAGAGCAACATTCCAAATCATCCCTTAAGTTCTCAACTTCCTGTGACTGAAAAAGATTAGAGGACTCCGAATCCGAAATGAATCTTCCGGTTCCCCTGTCAAATGCAGTCGAGCCAGGCGAGATATCAAATCGCCCCTTTTTCCTTGGCGATTCGTTTTCAGATCCTTTCTCAGGCCATTGGATTTTGTCCAGCTCTTTTTTTCTGATCCTGGATGACTTTCTTGTTGGTTTGTCTAATTTAAGCTTCCCTGTGGGTGTAATAAATTTTGGACTTGAAGACTCTGCAATCGATACAGGATTATTAGATCCAGGATCAGCTAATTTATTTGATGGTTCTTGCGTAACATTTAGGACAGTTTTATTCAGTTCACCATCATTAATATGAGTCTGCTCAACGGTATCGGCGAATGCAGAAAGAACTTTGCTTTTGATAAAAAAATTACTGTTTTCATCGATGCCAAAGTTACTAGGACTACAACTCAATGATGCATTCTCTTTAGGTTGCTTTTCTTTTTCAGCATCGAGTTCAGGAGCTGCAACTATATCTGGTTCAAGTGAACAATCGCTCAAATTCATTGCACTGTAATGCGTCTCAGTAACAGGCGTTGCTATAAAGTCGGGATCTTGGTTTGAAGCTTCTTGAACATTTGATAGACCATCTTCAACATCTTCTAACAGATTGTGTTCCATAGATTGGGTTGTATCAAACGTTCCATTCAGTACTGCTTCATTATTTAGGAATGTACAGTTTTCATTTGAATTGTCATCAGCTTCTTTTGCACTTGAGAATTCTTTATTGCTTTTGTCTTCCGCTAAAGGATCTACACTTATTGATTCGTCCAAAGGTATTTCATCTTGAAGAGTTTCTGGAATCTCTTCATCTTCAGCTACTGGTGTTAGAAACAGCGTACTTGCCTTCGGGTCATCTCCGAAAAACGAAACCCTGCAGCTCTCGTTCGGTGATGTTGGTGAAGCTAAACCTAATTCCAGTTCGTTTTGATTCGCGTTCATGGTCAGCGGAATTTGAGAAGATCTATAAGACTCTGCAGGACTAACCGCCGAATTAACACAACTGCGATAGCTTCCAGGGGTCAAAACCCGCACTGGTCGGTCCAAATCCAGGGAACCAAAAGGCGCGCAACCCTGAGTGTTTATCGCAAACATTGATTGCACAGATCTCGGCGGCAAATCTTGTTGTGATAAAAAGATGACCTTGGATTCAATCCAACAGCTTTGAGGGTAAAAGTCGGACCTTTTCCCAATACTTTCCCCACGCCCGTCAAACACAGTATAATTGCACGTTTTATTGGCATTTCCCTGAAAAAACTCTTCCCAAGATCTCTTCACACGAGAATCGGGTGACTTCAACTCTGAACTATCTTTTTCAGATGGCTTTACGTTTAAACTCTGCGCTGGTTTCTCTTCAATTGGCAACGGTAGGAAATCGTCGGAAAATTGAGGTGATTTTGTCATAAAAACTTTCAGTTTAAAATCAGACGATATTTTTGCATTTTGAGCTTTTTGCTTGACCTTTGCTAATAATGCACTAGATTCGGTTACAGAAGGTAAATCATCTGCAGTGCTTTCGCGATTGTCGCTTTTATCCGCACTATTTCCAGCATCTTCGTCTTCGTTTTCATCGCTTTCCGATTCTTCGTTAGATTGTTGTTGCTCCTGTTGTTTCAAAGACGTGTCTGTTATATGTTTGCTTAGTTTATACACTTGATTGTACAAATGGTCCACTCTTTTAGAGTAGATATTGCAGCAGCTCTGGATGACCATTGCGGCTTCTGAGAAATTGACCGGTTGGTTAGCCTGGCTCAAACTTGAAATATCATCTGACAATTTAGATAACGCTTCGACTAAATCTATGTCGAAGCTTTTCGACAAATCACGAAGAGGTTTAAGAATACTGGCGTATTTTTTGGCACAGAATGTCGCATCCAAATTGTCATACGTGAGTTCAGTTTCTCCTATTTCTCGGATTGTAGCAGCGTTTTTGCTTTTCTGTTTGGCGGTGTTGGGTGCGAGCACTTTCTGCCGCTTGCTCGAAGAGCTCCGGCTGTTTGCCGAAGGGTTCTTTCTCTTCGGCATTTATCTCATAAATCCATCCTAAAAATAAACATCATATACTGCCAAAATCAAATAGGAAAAACGTGAACTTCATGAACCAATTACACACTGAAGATTTATTCGAAAAAATTTTTTAACTTGAAAAATTCACCTCAGCTCCAATCTAAACATACCCTTTTGATGAACTAACCCAATTTAAAATCTGAATCAGAAAGGTTTTTTTAACAGTTCTGTGGGAATTTTAAGCAATGTAATTGTATTTTGCGTAACTTGCCTACCAATCAGTGAAAAATAAGCTGCCCAAAAAACTATTTACGCGTGAACAAATTTCAAACAATTTTTAGTTTCGTGTTTTCACACAACCTAAATAACGTAAACATAGTAAACAGACCGCTGGAAAAAAAGCCAACGCACGCAAGGAAACTTATCAAAACTTTCAAATTTCACAAGAAAATATGGCTCTTTTTCCCTTCGATTTTCAAAAAGAAATTATGATTGACATTTGTTTGATGTAACGAACTCAATTTGAGAAAACCGGATAAACAGGCGAAAATTTTGTTCCGCTGGGAATTTCTAATAATTCAACTCAATTTTTGAACTAAGAAGTCGATCAAGTTTTTCGTGATCTTTCAAATCGTGACATTTCCACTTTCGCTGTTTGATATTGAAGTTTGCCCTCCTTTGTAATAAAAAAATGAATCAAACTTAAAAAGAAAGCATCAGTCAAACCCTAAGAAATGTAAATTTGAGCCTGAACAAATTTTCGTGAAAAAAAAAATCATCACAACCTATTCAAGAGTCTGAACTTGATGCATTGACTCTTAATAAAAATTGATTATGACATTGAGGCAAAGCTGCGCTTCGCAAACACGTGAAAATCACCAACAGGTAATTCAGGTGAACGCAGGGAAATAAATACAAACGGACTTAATATTTGATAAAACTTAAACGTTCGAATTTCAAATCAAAAATAAATGGCCTTTAAGCTCTTTGAATTTTAAGAACAGCTTATGATCGACACATTTTTGGATAAAAATTTATTCAATTTAAGAAAAATGGATCAATAGGTAAAGTTTTTATTTCGCTGGTAAATCTTAAACTCACATGGTAAATAAAAACTCACTTTTGCAATCAATTAGAGGTCGATCACGTTTTTCAAGACCTTAACAGTTTTGTTTGTTGATAGTGGAATTTGCTTTCCTTTTAACAAAGGAAATGATTTGAACTTAAAAAGAAATAAAAAAACCTAAACAGCGACGAATCAAACTTGACTGTGAACAAATTATAAAACAACACGAATTATATAAGAGTCGGAACTACGGTCATCTGCTTTTTAATAAGCAATACTGTATATATTTCCTTCAAATGCGTGATAAAAGTTGCTTAATGAAAAATTCTGTTTCTAGATAAGGTACGTGCTTGCGCAAGCGTAAATCGAAAACCATGGATTCTTTAAGTTATAAGAACAACTTTAGGACGCAAACGTCTTAAATTCATAAACTCTAGTTTCAAACAATAAATCAGACCTAAAAATGCTGAACTTCACTCCGTTCAATAAAACTTGAAAACATTGCTTAGTTTATTCATAATTAACAATTTGATATATTTCAGATAGTTTGCATTTAATGCTATATTTAAGAGTTAAATTCTTTTTCTTTGCAATATTCATTGAACTTTATTCATCCATGCATCATAATTTCTAAAATCTTCTATATGGCATCTAACAGAAAGAGAAATCTATAAAACTACTCACAACCAGTCACAGACAACAGCGAAAGGACCCTGAAATTGCAAAAATTTGAGAATTTGTGAACACACTTAATTGGTTAATCACTTGAGGTGGTCGAGTTTGAAGATATGCGCCTCGTTCTTTCGAATTTGGACGCCACTTTAATCAGCAGCTTTTCTATATTCTTCACAAGAGCGCCATTTACAAGTAGTTCGAATTTATCTGAAGAGTAAACATGACATGGCATTCCAAACACCATTTTGTTTTTACACTCTGCAGATTTCTGCATCACATTTTCAACCAGCGCCCAAAGTTCCACCAGATCCGAAGCTGGGAGGTCGTAATCAATATGGCCACAACAAATTCTGATTTTCTCAAACAGCTGCGCTTTCAGAAATTGCAACAACATGTAGAGAGACTCAACATAATGGTTGAAATTTGAGTGAGGTAAATTGAGAAGAATTGACGAATGCGGGTACACAAAATCACCAGCAAAAAATAAATTATCCTTTGGATAATAAAGACCAATGCTATCTGGCGTATGGCCGGGTAAGTGCAAAACTTTCAAAATTTCTGCCGGGTCTTCAGGGTCTAATGTAATAACATCGCCATCATTCAGCCACCTCGTAATTGTGTATGCATGTGAATGTGCACCAACAGTGGCGCTCAGAGTTGTTTCTGGGAAATTCAACGTATAACACTGGTTCGCCCCGCCTGCGCATAAGTCCATGCACTTCTCATGTTTCTCGGCACCTTTCGGTGAAAATTGATAATTGCCTCCAATGTGATCGTAATGGTTGTGTGTATTAATGACTAGAAAACTGTTTGATTTGAGACGCTTGTCTGGGATTCTGTCTGCTAAAAAATAACCACGAGCATTTAAAACCGCTGTTTGTGATAAAATATTTTCTTCAGGGTTTTTCTAGAGTAAGACATTTTTTGTATGCTGATTCCAAAAAATTCAAGTTTTCTTCTTTAATTTATATTAAATGCAAAATGATCGCTCAAGTTCAAATGTGAAACTTTAACCGGGTTTTTCTCAAATTGGGTTGACATTAGACACAAAATGAAGAGAACCAAAGTTATTATGGTGCAATATATTTTGCGAAATTCGGGGCCAAAGTTTAATCCCGAACATGAGTCATTTCGGCCTCTTTTAGCCAATAAGAAGTACGCTAAATCTAGTGAGTCAATTGATGAGCAAATTGTACTCTCATACAGCAAAATAAAATTCGAGAAGGGTATATCCTCAAAATGTTTGCACAAAACGTTTAAAATTTGTTTTCAAGCAAAGATTTGTAGTTCTATATTGTAAAAACGACCTTTTTTGGCTATCAAACAAAATTGTATTCATTTATTAAAAATTTTGAAGGTTATACCTGTCTGGAATTTTGTTGGGCTGTAGAAGAGGCTCACTTTCGTATAACTTGCTCCTCAATGGACTCATTAGATTTAGCGTAATTTGTGATTGGCCAAAAAAGCCAAAATGACCAACTCATGAGGTAAAACGTTAGCCCCCAATCACGCAAAATAAATTGCACAATAATAATAAAGTCCGAGCAACTTTGGTTCTTTTCATTTTTATCCATTCTCAAACCAACTTGAGAAAAACGGATTTAGAGTTTCCTATTTTGTTTAATTTAAATGAGAACTAAATCAGATAATTTAAATCAGAACTATAGCCTATAGGGATGAAACTTGAATTGTCAGCTATTTTTTTTAAAAACCTGCTTCTGATTAGATTCACAGACAAGCTCAATCCCCTTTCCCAAACTTTGTGAATAGCTTAAAGTAAATCTGAAAGGCTATTGCAAATGAACGATCCTGAAATACTCTAATACACAAAAACAATCTGAAGGTATCAAAAAATCAAAATTTACAACAGAAGAGGCAAAAATTGACACAATTTTTGTATAGAAAAAATTATTACCCAAAAGAAACCAACTACAAAACATTTTAGCCGTCGGAAATCTGTATTTTTATTTATACTCTACAATAAGGTACTTTTAAATCTAAATTTTGAGTCTACCTCGGTCAGAACTTAACAAGAGCTGAATTAACTGAAAAAAGCTTAACATCAGAAGAGTTGTTAAAAAGCTCAACAATTTTGCAACAGAAGAGTCAAAAAATCGATACAAATCAAATAACTTCCCAAAAAAAAAACTAAAAAAAAGTTTTACTTTTATATCTTTAAATTTATTAACTCTTTACAATTAGGTATTTCTAAACCCACGCACGAAATGTTGAGTCTACGTCGGTCACAATTTAGGAAGTGAATAAACAGATAAGAACTATTCACAGAAATATTATGCCGAGAGAACCTAGTAAGGATTTCATATTTTCGGTAAAATCTTCGATGATTAATTATCTTTAGATACAAGAGATGGAGACGTAAGAATTCACACAGAGCGAAGCTGCACTTTGCAAACACAATCGATAAAAACGGCAAAAACTAGCTCTAAAAACGTTTAGCGAAAAGAAATACAGAAAAAAATAACAAAAATAAAACATTCGATATGTGCCTGGAGATTAAGAGTATCTATCTAAATTGAAGCTGTCTAACTTTCAAAAATAAATCATGAACAATGTTTGTTTCATAAAACTGTCGCAGTTAGATAAACCTTGATCAATAGAGTAATTTTGATTCCGCTAAAACATCAAAAAACATTATATTGACTCGCTACAAAATAGACTAAAGCGCAAACATTTCCACCAATTTTTCTGGACACTCGAGTTTTTTTAAATACCGTTCAAAAAACTGTGAGAAGGCTTTACTACGATAAACCACTGGTTTTGCGTGAAATAACTTTGAGAGGGCTTTATTACGATGTATCACTTGTTTTCCGTGAACCTGGTTTTACTTGCTCTTGGTTTTGCGTGAAAAAAGTAGAAAAATCTAAAAACACATCCCAATACATAGTTTTAAGCCCTTTACCGTGGTCGGATCAACAATACCACAATATACAGAGCTTTATCATACGAAACATACTAAAAGGAAAAAATTTCTTTTCGTAGATGAAACACAGCAGCTTCGGGTATTCAAAGCAGCTTGGCACAATTCCAAAAAAATGCATATCGTATATTTGTTTTTTTTTTAAAAATGAAATCTGCTTTTGCTACAGTGTAATACTCACACAGAAACACATAAATTGTTTTGCATAACTTTTTGTTCTAACTTCACTTCATTGAAAACAGGCACACTTCGCTTAACCTTCTCCGTTTTTTTCGTTTGAATTTTCAGTTTTTGTCTGTTCCTCGCATTATGACTCAGTTCTCATCATCAAACTTAGCTGTTCTTCATTTACGAGTCTTAAGAGCAATTGGTAATTTTGAAATTCAATTAACTGCTCCTCACTTGTTAATAGGTAGTCCAGGTAACTCGCAGTGTTCACTCCTGTATCGATGAGGACAATGAACTCCTTCGCAAATATTATGTACATGATTGGCTTCTCTGAGAATCTATCATCTTCCACTACATTCCATACATTGGGGTGCATCTGAGTCGCTTTGAACGGTGGATCTAACATAACTAACTACTATCTGAGTAAATACTATCTGAAAACAAACATACTTCAATATGTTGATACTTATATTGGGGGCTGTCGTGCGCGAAGGACCGATTGCGCGAAAGTTCTCAACCGATCAATGCACTTTGAACTGTCGAAATCTGACTGAATTTACTGCTGATTTCTCTGCTAAGTTTTTAATACTGAGCACTGATTGCTTGACATAATTTTCGCGCATTTGTTACTTTGCACGAGAGGGATTTCCCATTTAACCTCTCACAGACTAATCACTATCGTCGGAAACGTTCTTTAAACCAATTACGTGACGGAAATGATTGCGATCACCAAACTGTACACAAACTTAAGAATGCCTACTCGGCCCTTCCCATCAAGTAGTCGCAGATAAATTTTCTAGTTTTTTTCAAGCCTTTCCATAGTCAAATCAAGAAGAACAAATAGTAATTATGTTTGACCAAGTAAAAACGAAAGTTTTCAAGTTAGAATTTAGTGAAAATAAAGGCCATACACTTGAGAGCAGATTGCTTTATTTTATCTACATTATTATCGCTCGTCAAGTGCCACCGTTATCTGTCTTTCTCCTTCGAAATTCAAAAGTTAAGGTCAATATCAATATCAATGTAATAAATGCGAGTCTCCTCAATTCTATTTAGTCTTCTATCATATAATTCAAGTTAGTTCTCATAACAACATCATTTCTGGATCGGCCAGAAGTTTTCTAAACTCTGCCAGCCACTGGGCGCCAACGGCTCCATCAACCACTCTGTGATCACAACTCAAAGTAACTGACATCTGGTGAGATTGGTGCGGTTTTTCATCGTCGTCTAGCTCTACTACTTTTCTAGCCCCGCTCACTGCCAAAATGGCGGCCTGGGGCGGGTTGATCACGGCTGAGAAGCTGTCGATTCCGAACATGCCCAAATTGGATATCGTGAAAGTGCCTCCTTGGAACTCTGACGGTTGCAGCTTCCCATCTCTTGCCCTGCCATTATACATACAATTTATAGCAACAACTTAATTATTTTGGCTGAAAATCTGATGTTCATCTCAGATAAGTAACAAAATTATTCGATTTAAAAATACGCATTTAATTGGGGAAACCGTAACGACTCTCACAAACAAGAGATGTGCTATAGTTTCGTGAATCTGGGAGGCGCATTTTTACAGTAGCATCCAATTGAAATTCAAATAATCCAATTCTACCTGTTGGCCAGATCGGCCACTGTCTGGCCTATGGCCTTGATGCCCATGTTCTCAGCCCCGAATACTATGGGAGTTATGAGTCCACTGTCTGTGCTGACTGCCACACTCACATCCACTGAGTTGTACTTGCGGATGTAGGAGTCCTGCCAGGAGCTGTTCACCTCCGGGATCTTCATGCACGCTAAGGCCGAGGCCTGGAAAACAAAGTCAATGTCTATAGCATAAAAATACAGATCCATACAAACATTAAACAGTACTACTGACTAAATCGAAGAAACAATAGGATGATCTTACCTCATGAAATGCAATTTCTATATAAATCGATCAAAAAAGTGACAGTAAATGATGCAATATATTCAGAGGCAATGATCCAATGAAACTGGAAACGTCTAATGCTTTCAATTTTCATACCAACTTTTTTTTCACAAGATTAGCTTTTGAAAAAGTAATAGCAAAAGCGAAAAGCTTTTCATTGTTTGCAATTGTATCTACAGTTGTGTCAACTTACTTTTATGACGAAATCGTTAACTGATATTTTGTGATCGGTCAGCTTGGCATTCAGCTTCTTCCTAATTCCCATCACTTTATCCATTGGCACATCCACTGTCAGATAATAATGAGGAATTGTCTGTTTCGAGAGGGTCAGCCGACTCGCAATCACTTTCCTCATAGATGTCAGAGGGATGTCTTCGTAAGGAGCTGTAGAAACGGCAGGCGCTGTCGCGGCAGGTCGCGGTGCACTCGTAGCCGCCGATGCTACATCACCGCCTCGCACTCGACCTCCGGGACCGCTTCCAGCGATTTGACTCAAATCAACCCCCTGTTGACGGGCTACTGTGCGTGCCAAAGGCGAAGAGAACTTCATTTTTATGGACGCTTTTTCTGGCTGAGCCGGAGGTCCCGCTTTTGGCGCAGCGGCCGGAGCTGAGGCCGGTGCTGCAGCAGGTTCTGGTGCAGCGGCGGGAGAAGCAGCTGGTGTTGCTGCAACTGAATCAGCAGTGAAATCTGCAAAGGCTGCTACATCATCTTTTTCCTCGACAATGATACAAACCAGAGTTCCTAGAGGCACATCTTTAGATCCAGCTGGGAGGATTATTTTGGCCAGGTATCCGTTCTCGGAGGATTCGAAGCCGACTGTTGCCTTGTCTGTCTCTATTTCGGCCAGCAGGTCCCCTTCTGCTATCTCGTCGCCCTCTTGCTTCTCCCAGCTGACTATGGACCCTGTCTCCATTGTGGGCGACAGAGCAGGCAGTGTGACCTAAATGGATGCATCTTACACTTAAAAAGAACAATTAAAAACCTACTCCTTGATTACATATGATAAAGTGACATTAGACACAAATGAAATTACAATGTTCTACGAAAACAAGAAACATTTTCGCAGTGGCAAAAACAAGCAGATAGAGAAACAACAAATCGAACAAACACGTTAATTTAAATAATTGAAAAAAGCATTATTCGGTAGAAGTAACCCTGCCTCAATTCACATTGGGTTCATAATTTGCACTCATTTTTCGGCTCTTTCTTTTTAGCCCACCTGCGAATTTTACAAGTAAAATTATTGTTCGCATTATCAGATTAATAAGAAAATTGGTGTGGGCTAATTAAGCATCGAAAAACACATTTGGCCTTCATACTTGTACAGGAAACGGAAGGGCCAATTTTTCGTAACAAACAATCGCTCATTCGGCTAACCACATTCGGGCAAGAAAAAATTCGACAAATATCATACAGCAACGGAAATTGCTTCACAACTCATTTAAATAAAATCATCTTCTTATGTCTGCTGATCAATAATTGTTGTTGATTTTGAAAACAAGAAAAAGTTATGCGTGCGCTCTGCTCTGCTTGGGTAAAGAACTGCTAGATGGAAAAAGAACATTCATAGTACCGACCGAGTCGCTGAAAACGGCAGGATGAACAAAGAATTAGCTTGCGATTTTTTGAAACCCATTTTTGGGCCCCTTAAAGAAAGCCCACAGGGGGTCAATTCTGGTATCATACTGACGGCATTTCAGCCGAGTCCAATTAAAAATTGATAGTTGTCTCATAGTTGAGAAATGAATTTCAAACTTCATTTGAGACTTGAAATTTCAGTCTGAATTTCCAATTTAATTCTTCGGCTACTATTAACTGCTATAAATTTCAACTATTTTCAAATGATTCTTATGATTCATTTACCATTTCATCCCTCTGAGTTTCCGTGGTCCATTTCATCCCTCTAAAAATTTCCGTGGTCGGAGCAAACATTCGGCGCCACCTGCACAGTAACTGGCTATTTTTGCTTCATTCAATCTTTTTGCGAATAAAAATTGCATTGCCAGCCACTCTTGATAAAATCCTTTGAGAAAAAAACATATGGAACAGACAGTTGAGATACGATGCTTTAACGCTTACAGCGTTTTTAGCAAAGTATTTTAGCTGATTAGCAATTTTGAGATTGAAATTCCTGCTCCAATGACAAAAGCAATTTTTCTTTTGAGTTTTAAGAACAATATGAGTCACCAAAAGTTAAGATTCCAAAACTTTGATGTAAATAATACAAAACGAGTTACAAAAATCATTTATAAAGTGTCAAAAATCAACGCAGAAGCGATTCTGCACTTCGCAAACATAGCCAACTGACAGTTAGAATAATGAACGCAAGAAACAGAAAAAAAAACACTACTTAGTTGAAAAAATCTCAACTTTCGAACTTCAAAAAAAATAGATACCCTTTAAGCTCTTTGAATTTCTAGAACAATTTATCAGTGGCGCTTTTTTGATAACATTAACCAACTTGAGAAAACTGGATCAATAGGTTAAGTTTTTACTTCGCTGGAAATCTAAAAATTAAATACCACTTTTGAAACTGGAAATTGTTCATGTTTTTTGTGCCATTTCCACGTTCGTACTTGGAGAGTGCTATTTACAAAACTTTCAGCAGATAAATTTCAATGCTCAAAAACTGCATATATGCCTAAGTGCCTTCATAAATGCTTTAATATGTATGTACGTTTATTATTCTTAAAAACAAGCAAAAATAACCCTGTCCTCGGACATTCAAGTAAAGTGAACAACACCACTTATGCTTAGAGAAACGAAACACAAGCCAATCATAAAGTGGAGAACTGCCATACTGAGCCAACAAGGTGCCTTTTATAAGCAAACAATGCCAACTGTCTGCAAAGAAACCATAAGTTATCACAGGACTTCCATGGTGGTATTGACATCAGCTTTATACTAACTGTATGGCCTCCATTGCATTGCCAATTATCAATCTGTTATAAAAAAATTTTTCCAACTCAACCTTGAAACTGAAATCTCACCGGTGGAAGAGGCTCTAACAAAATTCACACAGAGGCAAAGCTGCGATTCGAAACCACAAACGAAAAAACAACAAAAGAAAACATAGCCAACAGACAGTTGGGAAAAGAGTGAAAGAACGCTATGCAGCCAAATTGGCATATAATATAATTCGCGTGTAATAATTTGGAATATAATAAACTAAAGGCATCCATAATAATCTCGCATGTAATAACTCAGAAACATTATTTTATTTATGAATTAATTATAAAAATATGCTTCAAAAAATTACCAGATGTATTGAAACGGAAAATTTCTAAAATGGATTTTTTTTATTGCACTGTGTTTTGAGACAAATAGCTTTTGTAATTCATTCGATGAATCAAAAATGCTTCAACTGTTATTTTAATACTACTCGAACTTCAAATCACATGCATAAAGCAGTAAAGTTGCCCCAAAAATCTATAAAGTGCAAAAAGAAAAAGTAAAAATAAGCCTCGATTTAGTAAAAATTCGGCTGAGTCTCGGATTCCACCTGCTAACTAAAAATTCGGCTACGCTATAATCACTATCACTTTTGCTATAATCAGAATCCGTAGCATTAGAAATCCGTAGCATCGGCTACGGTCTCACACACCAACCACGGACGCTAAATAAATCACAAACACTAGCCACGAACACAGCAGAGAACAGATGCTATGAAATTTCCAATGCTACGGATTAAGATTATAGCAAAAGTGTCGCCAAATAAGTGAACACTTTTCTATTTCGATGAACACTTTTATTTACAAGTTAGAAAAAAAGGTTTTTACTAATACACTCCGCTCGCTAGCTGGCTAGTATAATCACCATGCCCGCTATGTGAAACGACAGTGATATGCTTTTCTAGCACAGCCCGTTTAGGACAAACTATTTTTTCTCAATATCATTCCTTGGCATCTGATTAATGTCGAGTAAATTTTTGTACGTACCGCATCAATATAAATGATTCATCACTAAGATCTAAACCAACCTTAATGTGACTGGGATAGTCGGACATCATCCTTGCTACTTTGATGCCAGTCTGCCTTCCCTTTAATTGAGTCCTCATCACACCGAAAGGGACTGTGTTGGTCACTGCAGTAGAGAGACTGTTTCTCAGCTTAACTTGCTGAGTGTGCGAACTGAGTACCGCTGCAGACACACATGGTCTAAAGCTACTTGGACTAGCGGAGATAGATTTGAAAATAAGACGACTTGATTGACGGCAGAGGGAACGCATTTTTTACCTGAAAAGAAACGAGTTTTTTTTTGAATATTACGAAAACGTTTGGCTCTTTACCCATTACTTTTCAAGTTACACGTTTTTTTTTCGGCTGCGACATGTCGATTCATCCTCGGAAGTTAAAAAGAACGGCGCACAGTGAGCCTTGAACATCCGACTCTTGAGGGCGCAGCGAATTAGTTAATCCCGTTTCAATTAATACTTTTTAGGGCTAACTGAACCTTATTCTTGGCGTTTCATTTAAGGCGAACCGCACTAGGAGCCGTAGCATCAACACTTATATTAATTCCACCATTGATAGGATACACGACACCACTCCAAAATGATCTAAACTCTCAAGTAATTGAAAACATCTTAGTTTAAGATTTTTTTTGTTAAACGTTTGGTGTAATTTTATATAATTACAAAGATTTACATAAGTCTTTAGCCCAAAGGAATTACTTTCATCTAATTTTTATAGTTTTTATATTTCACATGAAGAGAAACTACTGATGAAATATGTATTTACAATTTACACAGAATTTCTACTATGTACAATATTTCAATTTACAACTATTTGATAGACAATGTTTTTTTTGTACATTCGCAACGACAATGATGAAACTAAATGATGAAATTTACAATGCCATTAAAGCATGACAAGGAGTATTAGGCGGATTTTCTTTTTTTTATCGTGTGGCAATGACGTCAGCATGGTTCTACTATTTATGGCTAGCATGACTCGATTCGTTTTCCTATCACTGTTGGAACATGACGCCAGATGTTGGCCTACTGGCAATGCTATTAGCAAACTGTCTCTGATCAGTGGGCGTGTTGGCTGTGATGGCGGCGGCAGCGGCGTGCTTGTTGGTGTGGTTCACCTCCACCATGGCCCTGTGGTCCCAGTATTGTTCCTCCTGCTTCAACTGTCGGTAGATCCTAGTCGCGGCTGCAGTGTTCCCTTGTTGCAGACGAGCACTCGACTGAAAACACTACGTACTGTAAAAAACAATTGAAAAAAAAACTTGGTTCTTTTCCAGTTCCCCCCTTTGATTTTTTCTGAAATTCAATATATGAAAGTCTTTAAATGGCTGGCTTTTCATGTTATAAACTACCATAAAACGTGTGAGCATGAGCAATTGAACAAATTTATACAACAATTTTTACATGCGAATTGCTTGCCATGTGAACCATTTTTGAACAGCTTTATTTTGTAATTTTACGAGGAAAGGGGGGTGTGGAAACTGTAAAGGCGCCAAAACCTTGGCTATTCCGAAAGTCAGTAGCCTCCTGAAGATAACAGGGCGCGAATTTTCTTGTTTCATTTTAAATTAATAACTGAAATGCGCCAATAAATGTACCATTTTTGGAGAGCCCTTGATGACATTTCGAGTTTATAACTTGAATTCTAAGAGCTCTCCAGGAGATGAACTCGAATGATTTTCAAATGCACCCGAGAGTTTTTTTCTCCTATTTCTCCACCTGCATCCAAAATTTTCATTTTCGTTCACTTTCTAATTGCTATAGAAACTGACAAGCCACCTAATTACGCTATGCCAAACATATTTGAGCATGAATTTCATTTGAATAATTGGTAAGTCGAGAATTTGTCTAGTTAATCACGATTTTATTTATAGAAAGACTGGCCAACCACGGCAGGATGGCCGAGCGGTCTAAGGCGCTGCGTTAAGGCCGCAGTATCTTCGGATGCGTGGGTTCGAATCCCACTCCTGTCAAATGTTTTTGGAGACAAAACGCACATACCATAGATTGAAGAATATTGAAGTTAAATATTATTACCATTCGATTGTTATAAAACAAATCGATGGTAGTTAAAGAGATTCTTGGACCAATTGACAGGGTTTGCCCAACATTAACTACCATCGATTTGTTTTATAACAATCGAATGGTAATAATATTTAACTTCAATATTCTTCAATCTATGGTATGTGCGTTTTGTCTCCAAAAACATTTGACAGGAGTGGGATTCGAACCCACGCATCCGAAGATACTGCGGCCTTAACGCAGCGCCTTAGACCGCTCGGCCATCCTGCCTTGATTTCTCACGACAGTAAATAGATCGAGAAGCGAATAAACACGCCTTACCGACTTACCATCAAATAGCTCAAGTTTGGACCATTACATCTCAGGATCAATATATTTCTTAGACTGATTTCTAAATAGCATTACCCACAATTACAATCAAATCCAAATATAACAGTGTGGCTTTCAACGAGCATACATTTTTTGGTCGATTTGAATCCACACATCTTAGTGAATACATACTGTTTTCGGTCTATTCATATTGCCTCCAGGTGTCCCGAAAGCAGACGAGACTGGCCTCGACATGCCTGCTCCAGTCACACGTCCAGAAGTGACCCGACTTCCCTCCTGTGTACCCATTCCGTAGTTGCCCTCGCTCGTCAAGGGGCGCACGACGCTCGAATATCCCGAACTGAAGGGTCTGTTTCTCCCAGAGGTTCCAGCGCTCTTCACTCTTTGGGACAGTCCAGCATTTGTTCCGTATGTCGAGATAACAGACGCTGAAAAAGCAGAAAGTCATAGCTGACAAAGGAAAGAAATGGGTTCCAAGGGGACATTTATTCAGGTAAGTTATCCTTGACGATATAGGCGCTATTCAAAATTTAGTACATTTGATGTTATCCTAAACCAAATTTGAAGCAATGAGATAATGCATACTAGTCGGTAAGAAATTAAGGGAAAATAAAACGATTAGAACATATAAACACTATGTCCAATTAGTTGAAACCCGAACCGAGTTGTAAGTAGTTTTAACGCAAGACAGACTACGTATGGAAACAGGTCGGGTCGATCTATGATTGAGCGACCGGCAGTAAGCCAGTCGGGTTGACAATTCCTAACGTGTTGGTCACTGGCTGGTCACCCGAGCATGACGTAATTGCGCTTCACAGCATGGCCCTAATCTCGTACAAACCTTCTGCAACAGGAACATCGTTGCCCATTTCGTCGAATAAAAATCAAATGATTTCATTCACTTCTCGCAGGTTAAAACATATAAAAACCGGAACGCTTAAAAATATTTTCAGCTTTGACCGGTGAGCCGACCCGTGAAAAAAAGCTACCTGTCGGGTCGAGAAAAAAGTGACCGGTTTCCATCCATAACATGGACCCCCTAAAAAGCAAATATCTGATGTTCCCAGGCCTTCCCCGTCTTTTTTAAACTGGTTGAGATACTGGTTGGTCAGTGGTCATTGAGATGATCATACTTATAACTATTTTGAATATTAGTCACGTTATAAACATCAATGCTATTTCTGTGACCAGATGAGGATAGTTACACATGGGATTTGTGAGGTGTTGTCAACTTACGATCTTGGATGAATCGGACACTTTTAGTGGCTTCAATTATCAAATAACAAAAATTCCATTAGAAAATTTTAGCTTGACTGATTTTACAATGATCAAAATAACGATCTTTAGAACTAAGAACCTAAATTAAAAAAAACTAAAGCAAAAAAATTAACTGGTCATTTATTTCCATTGCTTTTATTTTTCGGAAATAATTACGCTGAAACAGCAATAATTGAAGAAAAACATATCAAAAACTGTAGCATCTTAGAATCCGAAATAAAGTAGTATAAAATGATAAAACTGGCTATAATGAAAACACACTTACAGTTGGCAGTTTGGGGTCTGGATTTACTGGCTCCTCCCCCCACATAGGAGTCCTCGTTGCCTTCTCCCACCATACTCTGCAGATCATCCAGTCTACTCACTGCATCCTGCTTCACAGCTCTCTCCGCATTCAGGTTCTTCTTCAGACTGTCTATTGTCTTCTGGGACTTGTCGAACAAGTACTCATTGGCCTTGTCCATTCGCGACTTCTCAATGAGGGAAGAGCGGAAGCGCATTTCCGATTCTTCCAATTTAGACAACTGAAATGTGCAACCCGAATTCGACAAAAACTAAGCATTACACAGAGGCGAAGCCACGCTTCGCAAGCACTAGCGAGAACACGAAAAAAAAGCAGCTCTATAAAGTGAAATAAGAAAAATAAGAAACAAAACTCGAATCAAAAAAATTCTTCTTCATCTCGGTTTCAAACCTGCGACCTAGAGATTCACAGTCTCAAACACTAACCACTTAGCCACGGACGCTTAATTGTCTCCAATCACTAGCAACAAAAAAGCAGAGAACATGCTATGCAATTTCCAATGCTATAGTGAAATTTCCAAATAAGTCAACATAGCCAACTGACAGTTGGAAAAGAGTAATGAACGCACGGAAACTGAAACAAAAACTGAATTGTTTTTTTTTCAAAAAACTTTTGCATACCGAAGAAATAAAAAGATGGCCTTAAAGCTCATTGAATTTGTATAATATTTTATGATGGACAGTTTTTTTGTTAAAATTAACCCATTTAGCAAGCCCATAATTGTTAAAATTAACCCATAATCAATTGGCTCGCAAAAAAATGTTTTAATCATGCTATCCAAGCTATGAAACTTTGAACAAAAAAGTGAAATTTTTCTAGGCAAGCTATTAAAGCACGGAAACTTTGAAAAAATTCACGTTGTTCGATAGAGCGAACCAGTAGGCGAAAAGTAAAAACTTGTCTTAGTAAGCTATTCAAGCAATGAAACTTTGAAATATTTCATGTAACTTCACAAAGCGAACTGGTTCGCAAAAGATTCAAATTTTTGTAATCAGATTATTAGAGCTATGAAACTTGGATTAATTTCAAGATTTTTTATAGAATGAAAGCTGGCTGTGAAACATTTTAGAACGAAATGGTTCACGGAAAGCTAATGTTTTTCTTAAGCAAGCTATTGACACCTTTGAAACCAACTACAGCAAACCGGATAGCGAAAAAATACAAAATTACTTCGAAGCCACTAAAAACCAATGAAAATTTTTTATATCTTTGTTCCGGATAAGAACTATTCCAAGTTTTTTTACTGGAGCCAATCACGCGATGGAATTTTTAACTATTTCAAGATATTTGACAGTGATAAGCAAAAAAAAATTTGGTATGCTAGCTATTTGGCTTAAGCTTTGATACGCGTCAACTTATCTCGTAGACCGAATCGGTTCACGAAAAGCCTATGTTTTTCTAAGCAAGCATTTCAAGTCAGGAAACTTTGAAATATTTCATATCGTTTATTGGATCGAATCTTTTGCAAAAAAAGTTTTATATGCTATTCAAGCAAGCAAACATTTTTAAGACCTCAGATCGTTGCATGAAGCCAATCTGTTGGCAACAAATTTAAGTAATACTAAGCAAGCTAATTAAGTTATGAAACTTCAAAAAATTTCAAGTTATTTCATGAAATTGAAATAGAAAAAAGATTTAGCAAGAAAGATAGCAAGCTTACAGTCTTCTTAACAGGATATTCAAGCTATGTAACTTAATTTTGTAAAACATTTGGTTGACCGAATCGGTTACCAAACAAAAATAAATTTTTCTTAGCAAGCTTTTTTAGGTATCAAATTCAAAATAATTCAAGTTAGTTTCAATCCCGAATCAGTTTGCGAAAAGCTTAAAATTTTCTGAGGAAGCTTTCGAAGCTATGAAACTTCGAATTATTTCAAATTAATCCATAGAATGAATGGGTTCATAGACTGAAAGTTGAAGTTTTTCTAATCAAGCTTTTAAAGCTATGAAATTTTGACTTATTTCAAGTTATTTCATAAACCGAATCAGTTTGCGAAAAGGTTTTAACTTATAATATTAATAACAATAACAATTGCAAATTAGATTTCATTCATTGTAAGAGTTACTACATTTACAACCAAACGAAATCTCATTGCGAGAACGTCGTGGAATTTTGCAGCCCGTTTTCAGGCACCTCTGGGTCTTTAGGATCTAAGATCACAATATAAGATCACTTTTCGACGCAAGCTAGTCAAGCAATAAAACTTTGAAATATTTCAAGTTTTTTGGCTGACCAAATCGGTTCACGAAAAGTTCAGTTTTTCTTCGCAACCTTTTAGAGCTATGAAACTTTGAACTATTTCAAGTTAATTTATAGACTGAATCGGTTCAGGAAAAATGAAACTTTTCGAAGCAAGCTTTTGAAGCTATGAAATATGGAATTATTTTAGGTTGTTTCATAGACAGAATCGTTTTGCGAAAAGCTAGAGTTTATCTAAGCAAGCTATTAAAGCTTTGAAAACTTGAAAAAATTAAAGCTTTGAAAACTTGAAGTTATTTAGCAAAAAGCTTGCTTACAAAATGTTTGTGAAAGCTTTGCTTCAAAAACTTAAGCTTTTCGCAAAACGATTCGGTCTATGAGATAACTTAAATATTTCTGAGCACACGATTCATGCGATGAAACTTTTGAATTTCTCAAGTTATTTCAAGGGGCAAATCGGTTAGCGAAAATCTTTTTTTGAGGCAATGAAACTTTGAATTATCTCAAGTATTCACAGAGCAAATTGATTGGCGAGAAGTTTGTTTTTCTAAGCAAGCTATACAAGCGATGAAACTTTGAAAAATGCATAGTGCAAATCGGTTTGCAAACAGCTAATTTTTCTAGCAAGGAGGTTGTTGTTTCTAGTTGGTTCGTTTCAGAATGAAATCAATCTAAAAACGCAAATTTCGGAAAAAAATGGACAAGCACTGTCTAACTTTGAAAACGAATTCAGTCCATCTTGTCTACAGAATTGAACTTTTGTCAAAAACAGTTACAGAACATTCCAGACCTAAGAAAATTTGAAAGTTCTGGAATATTATTGGCCTTCTCTTAAACGTTAAGCCTTAAGAATTTTTTGAACGTTGCATTCGACAAAGCTAAAACATTGCTTTCAGTTGAACATTGCGTCCATAGCGCATTGGGAGTTACATTTAATATATGAAATATAAGCAGATATACGATCACAAGTTATTTCATAGACTGAATCGGTTCGCGATAACCTTGAGTTTTTTGAGGCAAGCTTTTCAAGCAAAAAACGTTGAAAAATTTCCGTTCATTTCATAGACCGAATTGGTTCGCAAAATTTTTTTTCTTAGATGCTAAGAAAAAAAATTTTGCGAACCAATTCGGTCTATGAAATGAACGGTAATTTTCCAACGTTTTTTGTTTGAAAAGCTTGCCTTAAAAAATTTAAGGTTATGCTGTTTTTAAGTGATTCGTTCTAGACTGAAATGAATCTGTAAACGCGAATTTTTGGACAAAAATTAGGCAGGTGCCGTCTAGACTTGCAGTTGGATCGAGTTCATCTTCCTCAGATGGTTGCTCTGAACGGTTCTTAAACGTTACGCTCGATATTCCTTCTTAATATTGTCTCCTAATAATTCTTAAGCAATGTGTTGAGTTAAACATTGCGTCCATAGAGCATTCCGACTTTCATTTAATATATAAGATCACAAAAAGTCACTTGTCGGAAGCTAAACGGAAGCAAACTTTGGCGTCAGTAATTCAAATATCTAAACTGAAAATGTTTATCAGAACTTCAAGACTATCTGTCTAGACATTTGACCTTGACCTAAACAAACATCTTAACTTGCTATTTATCCAGATTTTGGATTGAAAAAAAAAATTCTAGAAAATTCTCGCTAGAGTGATTTCTTATACGTTGTGCTCGATAGTGATTTCTTATACGTTGTGCTCGATAGAAAAGTTAAAACTTTACGTCCATAGCGCATTGAAACTTTCAATGAATATATAAGATTTGAGAAAACTAGATCAATAGGTAAAATTTTTATTTCACAGGGAAATGTGATAATTAATTTCCATTTTCGAAATTAGAAGTCGATCACGTTTTTCGTGACCTTTACATTCTCGCTGTTCAATAGTGGAGTTTGCCTTCCTTTTAACAATAGAAATGCTCTGAACTTAAAAAGAAATCACACGTCAAACCACGAAAAATTAAAATTGAACGTGAACAAATTTTAAGACTTTTTCCTGAAAAAAAAAACAAAAAAAAATCAGCAAGACCTATATAAGAGTACCCACTACGTTCATTACTCTTAAACACTTTTATTTGCGAGTTATGAAATATGCAAAATTTTCTAAATTGTCACTGGCGGCCGGCGAATTGGAACAATTTATATATTTTTTATGGGTATTTTTATAAAAGAAGCTAAATATTGCCTCATTTAGTTCCTTTTATTAAACGGCAATGATTCATTTTAATTATTGGTTTTCGACTGTTTTTGTTTTCGGTCCTTCGCCCATGAGAATAGTCCCTCCCCAAAAAAAACCGTGCTTGCTACTTGAAATTTCACTCTCATAATTATAGGGGGAGGTGCTCGTTTGAAATGTCTAGATGGAAAAGAGACAGAAGAGAGTGACTGACCAGGTTTTCGAAGTTGGCCGCCCTGGTGACCTCCAACTGTTGGTCACTCCTCGCCCTCTGCTGCTTCTCATGGTCCTTCTCCATCTTCTCCTTTTGCTAAACAACACAAAACTTCATCCCAAGTGTCTGTCATATTGGGCATTTGCACAACACTAATGGATACTTCCTATACTCGGAAAACAAAATATATCTATTTTTTCAATAATTAAATATTTCGCAGAGTACTTGCGCTTTTGGAATTCAACTGAAAAAGAATCGAGCAACTGAAGTAGACTATGAATATCACGCAGTAGAAATACCAATAACAACTGAAAAGACAAAAAAATACAATGTTTTCAAACTTCTTTCATGAGCATGGAGTGAAGTTTTTGCTGTGAGTTCTCCGACTGAGCTAGACTGCGTTTGAGAGCAGTGCACTGTTGTCTGTACAGTCCCACTTCCTCCTCGCACATCAACTGCATGCCCAGTCTCTCCCTCCTCTTACCATCCACCTCTCCCTTGCAATCCTCCAGCTGTGAACAAAAACACTTAAATGATGATGAAAGAAGAGATAATCCTTTTCCAGCTATGGGCATTGAAAAGTTAATAGATATTGTCCCAACAAGAGGTTGGAAAGGACTTTCGATTCAAGTTTTTTTCCTATTCGATTTTTTGCAAATTTTCCCACGCAATGTCCGGTTAACACAAATACACATCATACTGGGTCGACTGATGCTTCATATTGAAACCCCTTTAGGCCATTTTTCGAACAAAAGCCAGTAATGGAGAAAAACCAGTTTTTATGAATTTTTTCCGCGCGAAACTAAGGACAACAAGAAATCGAGTACTACGTCATCTTCAAGCCATTTACACCGCAATTCGACTAATGATTAAAAATTAGAAAAGAGTCAATGAACGCAAGGAAACAAAAAGAAATGCTGACTGATTTTTGAGGAAACTTCAACTTACCAAGTAAAGAAAAAATGGCCTTAAGAAAAGTTATGATGGACAATTTTTTGATTCAATTCACTCAATTTGCAAAAACTGGCTCAAATGGTAACATTTTGATTCCGCTGGAAAATCTGCAATTTAAAATCCACTTTCGAAATAAGAAGTCGACCACGTTTTTCGTGATCATTACAGTTTTGCTGTTTGATAGTTGAGTTTGCCGTCTTTTTAACAAAAAAACTGACTAAATTTAAAAAGAAACCGTGAGTCAAACAACCGAGAAAAATAAACTTTGAGCGTGAATAACTTAAAAGAATTTCCTGGAAAAAAACATCAAGAACTATAAAAGAAAATCATTTCGCTCTGTTACACTTAATTACACATCTCATTATGAGTTATTGGATAAAATATACGGCAAAAAAAAACGGCAATTCCGAGCGATATAATAGATATCGGACTGCAGCCGTCGGAAGATGAAGAGGAAACAAATACTAATTTTGGACCGGATAACAGCACTAAAAAATAACTTGAAATAGACAAATCGCAAAAATTGAAGAAATGAGGCAACTCACACAGTTTAGAAATTAGTTTGAAAAGCAGTATTGGCAAGTATCGACGCTTACGCCGCTGCGCTTACATCTGGCACGAGTGGCATAATGCACAAGAATCAGTGTTTGCCGCTCATCTATATTTGTTTGTTAATTAATTCGAATCTTTGCTTTCGAACCGAACTACAATTTACTGAAAAACTTCCGAAAAGGCTGCAAACTAGCACGTTAACTATGCATCAGTATTATTCTCAAAAGACCCTAAAATCCCACATTATGAATTGTTTCTTCCAATATTAGAGGCTTATTTTAGAAGCTAACCAATAAATTTTGGTGTCTCAGGTTGACTTCATTTCATACCCAGCAAAAAATTATTGGAACATGCTTGATAAAAACTAACCCAATTTGAAAAAAAAAAATGTGTCACAATAGGTAATTTTTTTTCAATTCGCAGTGAAATTTTACGTTAAAATCCACTCTCAAAACTAGAGGTCGTTCCCGTTTTTTTAGCGCAGTTTGCGCTTTTGAAAGAAGATAATTTACATTCCTTTTAGCAAATGAACTTGAATTGAACTTAATCGAAAACCATAACGCGAAAGATCAAATTTGGTGCTTTCTTCCGGATAAAAAAAAACATCACGATTGTGATTTAAATCATTTCGGACGGAAAAATCTGTGCTACTTGCAGAGCAACCGGCTATCTTTGATGCAATCTAGCACAAGTCTGAGCAAAACAACTATTAAGAACCTTTCGTTGTTGAAAAACTACGCTACACCAGATAAAGAATTTGTGAAAATCAAAAGCGTTTATAAACACTTGATGGTTTGGTCGCAGTCACCTCGTTAAGGAGCTGTTGTTTGGTGGAGGATATCTTCCACTTGTAGTATGCCTTCTGCTTCTCCATCGACACCTCCATCGCCTCCTTCTGCTGCCTCAGATCCAGAATGTTATTCCGGTACTCCACCAATGTCTGCTTGTTGAACTCATCTAAACATGCAACTTGTAAACAACTATTTACAACAAATTTGAACTACCATTGTGTGTCACGTATCAAACTCTAAGATGATAGTTTTTTTTTATTACAGTCGCGGTCGGATCAGCGATAATGACAGCACGCTTGACCTGAACTACTTTGGGTTGTTTAAGAAGTAGATGTAATGCTTCGATCTTTATATCAATAGAAACATGAGCTTCACGATGAGTTGATTATGGTCAACATGAGCTTCACGATGAGTTGATTATGGTCAAACCTATTTCTCTGTCGAATCTATCCCAAGTTGCTAAAATACGACACAAACATCAGTACTTTTGTTATTTTTCTCTACTTGAAAGAAGTTTCAAATTTCTAATTGCGAGGCATGAGCTGAACATTAAAGCCAACGATATGGAAAATCGGTAGCGAGTTTACAGATGGCCTTAATTAGAAGGCCGGAAAACACTAAATGTTGGAAAATACATAGGAAACCCATTGTATATCTCGATAGGTTGGAATAAACGCAGCCATTAATATTAAATGCAGATTTCATAAATATTACTTCGTTTGCATATACTTAGATATCTACTATTACTGTCTCTCCGAATCTGGAATTAGAACTATTATCTGACCTGCTTCGGCGACCTTGTCCTTCCAGTCGTCTATCTTCCTCCTCACTTCATCCCCAGCCTTCTGGATCAGATCCGAGGCGTCATTGAAGAAGTGCAGCTGGTACTGACTCACATCCACTCTGCAAATTAAACACATATTAGATCAATGACGTCACACTACCATACAAGAGTTGCATGGTCTCGGATCAATGAGCATTAAGGCGTCTTTTTCATAAAAGTATTTGGGCCCTGTATTTATTTCACTAGATTGTGAAATGAACAAAAAATACCCTCATTATATGGGTGATCTTTTCAATTTCCTCGTACAAATCAGGGTATCTCACAGCTTTGCTATTGGTCATGTTAACTTGATATGTTTTATAGAACCGAACTGTGCAAGAAAACCACTTCAACCAACAGACTCTCTATGTCAAACTAGGGTCAAAGAGTTTCAAATAAATAACCTATTTGTGTATGTGGTTTGAAAGAGGTCATGCACCAGTTCCATGAATTCACTTCTCACAGCTTCCCTCGTCTTCTTCTCAGTGGCCACTATCTCAGAGTCCTTCTCCTCCAACTGACACCGAAGAGCAGTCACTTCTACAATAGAAAAACTTAAAGATGCACCTTCAATGCAAAAACTGGAGGACTGTTGCCTTTTTCATATTATAATTTAATCGTATGTTCAGCGATTTATTTAAAAAAATTGCTCTTTTTTTTACATATCCCTATGAACAAATGCTCAATCTTGCCACCCAAAGGTTGGCGGTTCGAAGCCCACTAAAATCCCTTGCTGTCCAGATACGTTTAAAAACGAGACATTTGGTCTAAGGACCTTTTCTCACTCTTGATATTGGGTTAAAAATTGTACAAAAATATGTCTTTTTCTGATTATAAGCCTGGAAACCATTTATTATGATTATCTAGACGTGTTTTGTCCAAAATATCAGAATGGATGTGTAGGTTGTGCCACTTGATCTCCAGATCTATTAGTGTGATTGGAGAGATAACTTACCCATGAGTAAAGAGTAGCACTCCGCAGCTAGTCTGCATTGGGAGTCCACGGCCGAATTGCGGTGGAAGTCCTTCATGGATTCAATCAACTGTTTCTTGTCCTAAAAATCCAAACAAAACAAACCGAGTGAAATCACAGCCCTTTTTTAAAGTATTTCAATGAACTAAGGTTTATCACATAAAAACGATGATCTAGCTACTATCTTTCAGTGGCAAAAGTTGTGGTTTAAATAATGCTTCCTAAATAATAGTTCTGAAATTCTGCAAATGAAAATATTTAAACGGAGCAAATATTGTTTTCAGTTCTGACTGCATCTATAATCCTCGATACAAAAAATGTTGCCATTCACGATCCTAGTTGTTAAGTATTGTCGGACATAACATGTAATGAAATTGTCCCATTGTTTTAGTTGCTGTTTTAGACGCGTGTTTTCGATATATTTGTTGCATGTTTTGCCTTGATACAATACAAGTTGTTCGCCTTTTAACGCTAGTATCTAAATTAATACCTGTTCGGTCTTGAACAACAATCTGGTCTTATGTTTGAGTATGTTCTCATAGAACATAGAGTAAGTCTCGAAGTTCCTCTTCTCTCTCTCCATCAGACTGTCTCCCAGCCAGGCCAGACTCCTCGTCAGATCCTCCCTTCTCAGAGTAACTGTCGTGTCTGTAGTCTGTTCAGCTATGGAAGCTAGCTTCTCCGAAAACTGCTCCGCAATGTGAGGACGGATCAGAGTGAACTGTTCTTTAATGGCCTTAAATGTACAACAGAACATGTACAGATATTGTGCTTTGGCTTAGAAGTTAAGGTGAAGTGGCTAGTGCCTTCTCCTTGCAATCCAGAGGTTAGTGGTTCGAAACCCACAATAATCATTTGTTCTTCCTTGAGAGTAAGACTCGATAGTTGGTTTTAATCTTTTCTCTAATTAAACCAGAATTTATCTCTGATAAAGCAAAATATTTAGTGAATATATTCTAACTGGTTTCTTCCATAAATCAGTGGGCAGTGCTCCCTCCTCCCTGGACTTCTCAGCCAGCAGTTTGGCATGTTCCATGGCCATCTTCTTCCGCATACTGTCAATCATCCGACACTCTATCGTGTCCATCAGCTTCACTGTCTGAAACATCCAATCATCAAGACGAACAAATCACTTTTTGTCAAATTTTTGGATGAAACGGATGATTACTTAACTATTACGAACTGTATGATGAAAAGTATCAAGTTTTTTTCTGTTCAAAAATACCTATACATAGATGCTCAGCATGATTGGTGATGTTAACGAGCTACTTTACCACATCTATTTTGATTAAGTGACAAACAATTGCCAACCATGAAAAACGATTGATGTAATTACATGATCTTATTTACCAGTTTTCTGATTATCAGCTGACAATAAAAACCAAATAAAGACCCATTGAACTAAAATTTATGTCGGGTAGCCCAAGCTAATTTCATGGCTACTCTTGTACTTCGTGAATGGTCCGATTAGTACATACACAATTTAATCCAATAACCATACACGCCTAATAGTTTTCGATACGTACCAACTTCAATCGGAGTTCAACCTCTGAGCATCCGCGTGGGATGGTGATGGGGTCAGTGTCGTTTATGGTGGCATTCAAGTAGTGGTCCAACTGATTGTACTTCTTTGCCAGAGTCCTCACAGTAGGGTAGAACACATCACGACGGTACAGGTTGCTAGAACACAAATGGCAACGGTGCTGGCATACGAATTACCATGTCATAAGGCATCATATACGAGAATAGCCCATGCCTGTTTGAAAATTGCCAATGCCCAAGATCCAGGAGCCGACCAAAAAGATACCAATTAGTATTCGAGAGAAGTGATTATCATAAATTTCCACGATTACGATAGCAAATTTTAATACAGCACAAAGCTTATCGCCAATACTATAAGCATTTTGAGACAAATTAAGTCAGTCATTGATTCAAAAATGCACGAGTAACATATTGTTGCGCTTTCACATAGGTCATTCAAATCTCATTTAACTACTAAACAACCCTCTTCTAGAAAAACCCTAACAAAACAAAGTTGCGGTCAAGCGACACCATCAATTGTCCCCAGCATCTAACTACTAAACATCAACAATTAAACAGCCTAATTGTTGTGATAAACTTATTAAATAGTTTCAGAGGCAGTAAATGATAAACAAGCCTAATTGTTGTGATAAACTTATTAAATAGTTTCAGAGGCAGTAAATGATCATGACTGATACCCAACCTGACAATATCCCTAATGCTGATGCTGATTCAAACAACATATTGCAAATGCATACTGAAGCTGAAACCAATACCGAAGATATTCCCGCACTAAGGTACCAAGGTATGACGCCCATCCCAAAGTCATGCAGTAAACGGGGATGTGCGGTGCTGAGCCCCATAGAACAGGAGACAACTGCTGATAACAACCTAGTCCAATTAATCCAAACTACCATCAAAACATCAATCAACGAAATTATCCCAATAATGTTTGGAAACCTGAAAAATGAGATGAAAGAGCTGATGAAGACTATGGTCACGGATGCTACGGAAGACATGAAGAAACAAATTCTCTCCGAAGTTAAAGCTCAATTATCTGCGCAAGAAGCACGCTGCTACCTCAAAAGTCTGTCAGAAGCTGAGATGGTGGAAAGCTACACTCGAAGAGAAAATATCCGGATTATCGGTGTAGCGAGCGATACCGGAACGCAAGAATCCAATGAAGAGACAGCAAACAAAGTGATAAAAATTGCAAATGAAATCGGTTCAAGCGTCAACAAGCAAGACATATCTGTTGCTTATCGCCTGCCGGGTCGGGGCACCACAAAGCCAATAATTGTTCGTTTATGTCGCAGAACAGCTAAAATAGATATATTAAAGAAGAAACGCCAGCTAAATGAGACTGAGGGCATGAAAGAGGTGAAAATATTCGAAGATCTTACCAAGGCGAGACTCAACTTTCTAAAATTGATGAAAACAGATGAGCGCATCGCTTCCGCTTGGTCCAGAGAGGGCAATATATTCTTCCAGTACAGAAATGACAACTATACAAATAAAATTACTGGGCTCTATGAGGGTGGTCACACACTTGGTTACTATTATAATGATGTTATAAATTGCTTCACTGGTGTTTTCAACCAACCGGAGGCCCCCTCCGGAACCTAAATTTTCTGTACTACATATAAATGTTCGCTCTTTGAAAGGTCATCTTAACGAATTGGAAGCACTAGAAACGTGGCTAACAGAAAATGATGATAATAAATGCTATCTCATTGATGGTTACAATAAGTTTGCATTCTAGTGGTTATTGAAAAAGATAACTACCAATTCAAAGTAGCAGTAATCTACAACCCACCTAGAATTAACAAACTACGGTTCATAGATACATTCGAGATTTTTTTAGAAGAAAACTACTCGCCATCAACTCCTTTTATAATCTGTGGCGACATTAACATTGACATATCAAAGATTAATCAACTATCGAACAATTACATGAACTGTATTTTTGCAAATGGATTCGAACTAGGTGATACAAAAGCAACAAGAGTTACTCAAACATCAAACACTTGTCTAGATCATTTCATTTATCAAAACCTGAATGAAGCCTATCAACACACTTTAGAATACCAAAATTTCTCTGATCATTTTCCTGTCCTCTTGCAATGGACTCCACCTAGTTTAAAAAATGAAAAAACTCAGACTTTTCGTGACCTTAATTTTGTCAAAAATAAAGATAAATCCAATAAGTACATAAACTCATTGCAAATTGAACTGAATGAAAAAGAGTTAGAAATCTGCAATATTGCAGATCCATCAGCAGCATTTAACATTTTTTCTGCGGTTTTTAATAAAGTTACCACAAATTTTGCACCCATGCGGGAAAACACAATTACTGATTTAAAAAAACCAAAATGGTTCAACAACAAGTTGAAAAATTTAAGAACCAAAAGAAACAAAGCACATCGTTCATGGAAATATCAACCAAATAATTCCAATTTATTGGAAAATTTTAAGAACTTAAGATTTAAGCTAGAAAAAGAAATTAAAGGGGCAAAACGGAAGTTTTACCGTAACAAATTCTCTGCATGTATTGGGGACTCAAGACAAACTAATAAATTACTCAATGATTTAAGTGGTAAAATATATATGATGCAAACGTACCAATACTAGAGTCATGTCAGCAGCACTCTGTAACTCCATCAACTTTTGATGTTGCTGAACGATTTAATGTTTTTTTTCTCCGAAATTGGCACTCAACTTAAAAAAGACATGGACTGTCTACCATTACCACCTCTTAAACAAGTGGGACACTCAATGTTTCTTTATCAGGTTACTGAACTTGAAGTAGAACAAATAATTAACAAACTTGATAATAAATCGTCGTCGGGTGATGACAATATTAATAACATTTTAGTTAAATTGTCGGTATCTGCTACCGTTCCGTATTTAACCCTGTTAATAAATAAATCCTTCAGCCAAGTCATTTTTCCTGATAAATTAAAAAGAGCAAAAGTCATACCCATGCATAAAAGTGGTTCCAGAGTTGATGAGAATAATTACCGACCAATATCGCTATTAATTGTCTGGAGTAAAATATTTGAAAGAGCCATGTACACTCGTATTTACAATTATCTTGAAAAATTCTCACTTATTTATAGTAGACAATTTGGGTTTCGGTCAAAGCATAGTACAATAGACGCACTCGTTGATTTTACTGAAAAAATGCGGTCATGTGGTAATCAAAATGTTGTTACTTTCTTTTTTGATTTGAAAAAAGCATTTGATACAATTGAACATTCTCTTTTATTACAGAAGTTAGAGTCCTATGGAATCAGAGGAATTACTTATGATTGGTTTGAATCGTATTTAAAGAACAGAAAACAACGTGTAGAAATAAATGGCGTTTCTTCAAACTGGTCTTCTATAAAATGCGGTGTTCCTCAAGGATCAATTTTGGGTCCCTTACTCTTTCTTATATATATAAATGACCTTCCTCATGTTTGCAAATCATCTGAAGTTGTCCTCTTTGCAGACGACACCAATGTCACTGCTTTAGGACAAGTAAATGTTGCAATTGAAAATGACATCTCTTACTTGAACTACTGGCTAAATGCCAATAAATTAGTTATTAATATGGATAAAACAGTACAAATGAATATTAAGACTTCCAATTCAATGACCTTTCATTTAAACAGCTGTGCTATTAAAACTGAACCTGTTTGTAAATACCTAGGGATATATGTAGACTCAAAATTATCCTTCTTTTCGCAAATTGATTATGTAAGAAAGCGATTAGCGAAACAGTCAGGCATTATTTCAAAATTACGGTATTTTGCTCCACGTCATCAGCTTTTAGACTACTATCGAACTAACATTAAATCAACTATCCAATACGGTATTCTTGTTTACGGTTGTTGCAGCTACTCTTCTTTAATGCCGATTTACATACTTCAAAGAAAGATCTTAAAATTGATTTACTTCCGAAATCGTCGCGAACAATCGGATGACATTTTTATTAGAAACCAACTGCTAACCGTGCACGAGCTTCATGTGTATGAATTACTAAAATTTGTACTCCGATCAGTAAACAAACTACACAGTGAGGATTTTTTGAATAATGTGTTTGAATTCGAAAATCCCACTAAAGTAACGCGTAGGGCTAATTTAAACCTCCTTAAAGAATCATTTAGAAAAAAACGATTTGAACGGCAATCAATTGCCTATCGGGGGTCTAGGCTTTACAACGTATTGAAAACTAGAGGCTTACTCGAAGATGGGATAGAAAATGCAAAAATTACAAGTTTTTATCATAAATTTAAGAATGGATACCTGCTAGGTAACATCGAGCTGGCAACTTTAGTTTTCAGTTTTTAATTTTTGTGTAATTTCAGTACCTTGGTTAAATGCTACAGGACAATCAACTATAGGTTGCGATTTATGTGAAAAAATATGACCCTCCAGAACCTTTTAGTTTAGGAGATATGGCCCTTTTTATGATTTTTTGAATTTTTTCTCAATAATTATTTTCCCGAAAACTTAGAAAACTTTCTTCATTTTTTTTTTGAAGCGACGTGTTCCCATGCCGGAGCATCAGCTGAACTGCTATAGGTAGCGCTATGAAGAACAATATGTTTTCAATTAGGTAAAAATCAAAATCACGTATTTTTTTGTTAATTTCTTCATTTAAAAAAAAAAAAAAAAAAACTTATTTTCTTTCTTTTGTTTGATGTTAAATTCAGTATGTGTGCTATATAAGGGCAACATTTATGTGGACCAATGGTCTCGTTAGTTGTCCATTCCGATGATAAATGCATTGATGAAATTACTTTTGTTTTGCTAATGACTATATTTATCAATCGGAAAAATAAATTCTTTCTTTCTTTCTTTCTTTAAACAGACAAGACAACACTTACACTACCATCCCAACTCGCTCGAAACAAACGAACTCATTGTCGCCAATAGTCCACAAGGCTACAACAACAACATCATCACTTACACGAATTCCTTGAACTCGGCCACTCTGGTGAGTCTCTTGATGTTTCCCAGTCTGCCCAGAGCCCAGTTGAGTCTCAGGAACTCATTCCTCTTCCACAACAGGAGGAATTGCTGGCATACCCTGTACGACTCCACTGGCTCCTTCAACTTCGACAGACTCTTGCGGGCTGACAAAAAAAGAAAAACTTGATAATTTGCATGACTGTTAGTTTTGTTCTAATTTTCCTTGAATTGTTGTTCAATCTTATTGTTTAAATACCAATTAAATTTATTTCAATATTTCTGCCTACAACATACTTCCTTTATAACTGTTAAGCACAAAATCTAACAGCCCATTCCTTGCGTTTACCGTATCAAGATTATCAACTACCAAAATGAACTGGTGACATAACTCACAGTTCTTCAAGTGCAAATGAGGTGTGCTCTCTTCTAAGAGAGACCCATCCACGTCTGTGACAAGAGGACTCTTGGGTGCTTTCGGATCGTCACTCAGACTGAACGCGTGCTCCCCTGTTTGTAGCACATCCTCAAGCATTAAAGACATGCCAAGTATCTCTCCATTGGCCACTTGTCTGAAATAACCCACTTGCAGTAACTATCACGAAGCAAAATAAAGTGATCATAAAATTCTAAGCAATTCAGGTTTAAAAACCGCTGCGAAAAAACTTCAAACAACTACAGAGAGGCGAAGCTGCACTTCACAAACACTAACGAGAACACCACAAAAAAAACAGCTTTACAAAGTGTAATAAAAAAAGTCGAAATAAGCCTCGAATTGGTGAAAATTCGGCTACGTCGCGGATTGGATCTGCGACTAGAGATTAAGAGTCTCACACACTAACCACGGACGCTTAATAAATTACAAATACTAGCCACAAATAATGCAGAGAACAAATGTTATGAAACTTCTAATGTTACAGATCATGATTATAGCAAAGCGTCACCAAATAAAGCCCTTTGCGACCAAATAATGAAAAATTTTATTTGCATGTTAGGTTGGAAAAAAGAAGGTTCAAACTTTAACACTAACGCTCACAAGCTCGATAGTGTAAATATCTTTCACACTTCAAATTCTAACTTACAAATTGCTGAAAACTGTCACTTTTGTTCAGCTTAAATCAAAGATGCTTAGTTGACACGAAAGAACAGACCTTGATGAAAACTTGGAAATCACCTTTTAAGGCTCAACTAATCAACTAATGCCTTAGATACTGAATTTGATTACGCAAACAAAAACAGTATTGGAATTGCTAATCAAAAGTTTGTGATAACGATACACTTCATTTACAACGACTGACAAATTTATCTCGGGTTAACAAGATATAAGATCTATTTTAGTATTGCCTGTTGTAGTTATGAGCGTCTCAACCTGATGAATAAAAAAGGACATGGAAGTCGCAAAAGAAGCGTTTAAGAAAATATCAACATGGGAATCCCAAAACAGCACAATTTGTTTTCTCTCTCTGTACTTACTCATAATTTCAGTCAAAGCAACTTTAAAGCACTCAAAGATGTAACTGAAGGTCTTCTATGTACGGAAACAAACAAAAATCTAGCACTGTGTGGTGTAATACAACGAAATTAACGTTATTTACAATTTCAGAACAGCAGTTTGAGATCTTGGGTATCGTAAACAACAAATCCAGCATATGACCTAGAGTTAGTAAGAAATGCAACATCAAATCTTTGCAAATTAAAAACTGGAATTTAAAAATTGTTTTTGTCAGTGGACTTAGATATGTTTCACAGAAAAACAAACTTTTAGATGCCTTGACAAAGGGTTGACGAGAAGCAAAATGAAAGTTTTTGGCAAGACTGAACATTCTGGAAAATGTACTTTTGGAAATTCGGTTATACTTACAAGAACACGATCAAAAAGCAGCTCTATCAAGTGAAATAAGAAAAAATAGAAATAAGCCTCGAATTAGCAAAAACTCGGCTACCTGTAGGATTCGAATCTACAAGCTACCGCAATCAAGAGAATTTGAGTCTCACGCACTATCCACTCAGCTACGCAAGCTTAATAAGCGACAAACACTAGTCACCAATAAAGCAGCTACATATGCTAATAAATAGCCAAGCTATTCAGCAAAAGTGGAACCAAATACAAATAGATACAATTTTGCAAGTAATAAATTGGAATATAGCAAACTGAAGCCATCCACACTAAGTTTCCATGTAACAAACCGGAAAGCATAAAGCCACATTATGTATAAAATATGCATTTCAAAAAAATGCGAGATGTATTGAGTAAGAAAGTTTCTAAAATCGAGTTTTCCTTATTGTTATGGGGTTTGATACAAATAAATTTTTTCGGTTCATTTGATAAACTGTGTTAACTTTTATAACGGTTCATTTGATAAACGGTGCATCAACTGTGTTAACTTATTACTTTTCGAATGGTAAAACACATGCTATGAAAAAGCTGTAAAGGTGCCTCAAAAGTGACACCAAAATTTGTGACTTCGGTTGGAAAAAAATGAGTTCAAAGAAAACAAAAAAAAATTTAATTTTTGGATTTCAAAGAAAAAATAAGATGGCCTTAAAGCTCTGTGAATTTCTAGAAGAATTTGTGATTGACACTTTTTTGAGAAAATTAGCCCAATTTGAGAAAACTGGATCATTAGGTAAAATTTCTATTTCGCTGGAAATTTGATAACTAAGTTGCTTTTTCAAAACTAAAGTCGATCACCTTTCGTGACTTTTTAACAGTTTTGCTTTCCGATAGTGGAGTTTGCCTTCCGTTTAACAAAGAAAATGAACTAAACTTGAAAAGAATTCAAAAAAGAAAGAGCGAAAAGTAACTTTGAACCTATTAAATTTTTAAAACCTTTCCCAAAAAAACCATCACGACCTATGCAAGAGTCTAAACAATGTTCATCGACTCTTAAAAAACGTTACTTGTGTAATAGGAGAATTACGAACCTTTCTGCATTTCTGAGTGGACTGAAGCATAGAAGTACACTGTCTATGAGCGTGTTGGGCGAGTCAATGCAGCACAAGAAACTCCCATTCCTATAAAAAATAGAATTGCTTATTACACTGGTTATTCACAGCTCATTTTTGATATTCATTTCTGATTTTGTAAAATCTCTCCAGGGGTAAATTACGCCCTTTTCTCTCATTATGATTAGGAAAATCTGAACTATCAAAATTTATTAAAACTCGTTTCTTTTCAAATTAAATCCTCTGTGAATGAGATAAAATTATTCATTATTCTGCCGCAAAAATACTTGGTACTCGATGACTTAGTTATTATTTTGCTTGGCTGAAAAAAGCCTAAAAATCATTACGAGATAACTACACCTGTCTAGGGAAGCTCTCCAGGGGAACAATTCTTTCGCTAGCGGATCTCTTCCTTGATGCGGCAATGGCGTTATCAGGTTGTTTCCACCGCACACGTTTGGAATTTGCACATTGATCATGCTGTTAAGAGCGAAGTGCATCATTATGCTGATGTCCTAAAAACAAACGTTATGCAATGCTATCAAATTTCAACCTTTGACCTGTTTGTCAAGAATTAAGTTGGTTCTACATCTAAACCAGTCCAAATTAATTCAAACCCTAATGAAGACAGACTTCAACTAAAAATTAAATCTAAAAATGTGACAAAATTTTTGAGGAGGACGTAAGTCATTATACAGAGAAACATCTACGAATGAAGATCCAAAAGCTCATTCGTAGCAATCCGAACCTGGTAAGCTCTTGTGTTCTTGGCAACAATGAACTGATCTCTGATCGGGTATCTCACAGCAGTCTCGAACTCCAACAACATCGTCTCTCTCTTCAACTTCAGGAAGCCAGTCACCTGCTCTGGGTCATTCGGGTTAGCCAGAGCATTGATCTGCTTCTGGATCTCCACCAGTTCAGTGCCGATGCCCTCTATGCCTCCCCAGGCGGCTGAAACGGTGTTGACCTGTGAGCCCAGTCTGGCGTAGGAACATCCGGCCATGGCATGGGCTGAGAGCAACTTGAAGATATCATGGACCTAAAACATTTCTGATTAAAGCATCAAACTTTTATTATTTTCTTGCTGTATTCCACCGAACGCCAATTCCACCAAACGCCGATTTTAAAATATCCAAAAGTTACTTCTGGAAGAATTGACAATTACAGTCCCGTTTCTTCTATTCTCATGTATTAACAAACTCACGGCTGATACGATTGTGCACATCTGCAGACAAGCTTTGTTCTTGGAGTCCTCGTCCAGATTGCGGAACAGGTGCATCAGTTCACTTGGGTGGGGGATGAACCAGATGTTCAACACCTGCTTCCCATTCGACGATAGCACACGACGAGGGCGCTTCACGAAGTTCCTGAAGACAACATATTTTGTCAATTACAAAGCTAATTTTATAAGGCTTTAATTTAAAAACAATTAGCATGTAACGCACCTCCGGTGATTCGAGTTTTTAATAGATAATAAAAACCGCAGATATTGGAAATAAGATCTGCATCCTTTGAGTGTACTCTGACAGCACCCAATTACAGGAATGGTAATTTCAAATTTTGTAAAAATTTTTGTCAATTTTTTTTAAACTTAATTTCAGAAAAACCATATAATTCTGTGAAGTTCTTTGAAACATTTCAAAATGAAATCAAAAAACGTCACATCTCGGAAACTAAAAGCAAATGAGCAGTCGCATTGGGCAGCAAAACTTTTAACTCCTGAGAGTACTCTCACAGTACCAAACTACAGCGTTGGGAAAATCAAATTTTGAGATAATTCAAACTTAAACTTTAAAAACTTTTTAAAAAAACCATAAAAAACGTCATATCTCAAAAAAAAATTGAGCAGTCATATTTAGAGGCAAGATTCGCAAACCCTCTGAGTACTCTGGCATCCCCCAACTACTGGGTTGGGAGCTTCAAAATTTGAAGAAAAAAAATGTTTCCTTTGAAAAATCACAAAAAACTTCATATCCAGAAAACTACAAGGATTTGTGCCGTCATATTTGGAGGCAAAACTAGTAACTCCTGGAAGTGCAATGGAAGAGCCTTAAAATAGAAATGTGAACTTCAAACTTTGTAAAATTATTTATAACTAAGTTCTTTGAACAATTTAAAAAAAGAGACATAACAAACGTCACATCTCGGAAACTAAGAGCACTGGAGCAGTCGCATTTGGACGCAAGTTTTTTGCAACTTGCAGCTCGTGAGAGCACCTTTGCAGTACGAAACTAACAAAAAATGTTTGAATTTTTTAAACCTAAGTTTTCTGAAAAATTAAAGAAATCATGAAACACGTCATATCTCGAAAACTACAAAGATTTGAGTAGTAATATTCGGAGGCAAGATTCGCATTCCCTAAGGCCCTGAGAGTACTCTGATAGCTCCGACTACAAACATGGAAAACTCATATTTTGAAAGAAAAAAAAGTTAAATTTGTTTCCTTGAAAATTGTTTGAAAAAATCCTTTAAATGTCATATCTCGAAAACTATAGGGATTTAGGCAGTCACATTTAAAGGGAAGATTCGCAACCCCTGAGGGTACCCTCAGAGTTTCCAACTACAGGATGAAGACCTCAAAATTTTTGAATATTTTTTAATCTAAGTTTTTTGAAAGTTTTTGAAAAAATCATTAAAAAAAACGTCATATCTCGAAAACTACAAGGATTTTGGAAGTGAGATTTGGGGACAAGATTCGCAATCCCTGAGAGTACCCTGGCAGCACTCAATTACAGGGTTGAGAAAATCAAAATTAGAGACATTTTTCATATTCAAATTTTCTCGAAAATTGCCGTATCTCGAAAACTAAAAGGATTTGGTTATCCATTTATGTAGGCCAAATTCGAACCCCTGGGGAATCCTTATAGCATCCCACCATAAGGTAGCTAATTACAAAATTGATGAAATAATCCTTGACATCAAACTGGAAAATCGAAAAAAATCTTAACAATTGCAATGTACGATATACCTTAAACGTGAAAAAATTCTTTCGTTAAACATGCAGAAATAATACGTTGAAAAAGTTTAAATATGGCGAGATAGTGAAGCCCGCATTCAAATACATAATAGATTTACTGCTAACAAACGTTCACAGATATCAGACTAGGAAACGTTACCAGAACTATAATTTTCTTTATTGACATGTAGTCGAATGACATGCATTACATTTACACCGCAGAGAGGCGAAGCTGCACTTCGCAAACACAAGCGAGAAAACGGCAAAAAGTGGCTCTAGAAAGCCAAAAACAAAACGAAATAGATAAGGAAAAGCCTTGAAACATTTTGCTATCAGCTACTCCTATTCTGAGTCTCAAGTTCTGGCATCTGAGCCACGCTCGCTTGAAAATATTCCAACAAGAGCTACCAATGAAGCAGCTACTACATTGCCAATGCTTGTCAGCATTCCCAATACTTTTCAGTTCCACCAAATAAAAATATACCTAATTCAATGCGCCGGAATTTAGACCTCAAATCTGCAGATTATGAGTCTGATAACCTCGTTCGCTTTAAAAAATATGGGACCAAGCTATAGCTGGAGTATCTGTTTGATAGATTTTCGGCTTGCTTTCATTAAGCGTCAGTATATTACAAGATCAGTAAGCCGAGTTACGTAATAATGCATCAGCTATTGAATCAAAGATTTATAAAATCAATTTTTCCTGGGCTAAACAATAATTTTTAAACTGGGTTTTATGAAAAGTTCTTCTCATTCTTGGTTTCAATTTTCGGTTCGTCGCACAGATTTGTCATATTGTACAAATTTCAGCCTTAAGGTCATATGGTTACGTTAAAAACATTCCATTTTTGGTTGAATGAGCCGGTCTGTCAGTTTTCAGTTTGCTGATACATCCATCGATTTACTGACCTACCAGAAAATGTTGAAACGCAGAAGGTAATGTGTAATTTCAAACAAAGTAACAAAATCTAAAACTTACCAAGTCCATAGCTGATTTGTGGTCAGAACTATGAACATTTTTTTTAAGTCCAAGTAGCTTTTCCTACAAAAAGGACACAAAACGATCACCTGTTCTTTCAATTTATCCCTTTCTCTTAAATTCGGCAGGGTAGTTCTCAGCAAAAATTCGAAAAATCTCAAATAAACATTTTTTTTAAAAACAAATAAGTGTGTAGCTGCTGATGCAGACAAAATTCCTGTTAATTATTTCTATTGAACGCTGAACCTCAGATTCGTCAGGGTAGTTTTAGAAAGTCAAAACTTTCCAACACAGGTCAAAACTTCAGGTTTGACCATTTCCATGACTATAACTTCTTTCCAGGAAAACTAGGTCAAAGCCGTTTATAAGTGGAGGATTCTTAACACTGGTTCTTCCGATAGAACACTTGATCTCAGACTTTTGGCAGGTTAGTTGCGAGGAAACGAAAAAAAATCCAAGATTAGATCAAAACTTTCTGAAGCCAAAAAAGTTTCTACTTAAAAAATAGCCAACCGACAGTTGGAAAAGAGTAATCAACGCAAGTAAACAGAAAAAAACACAAGTTTGTTGAAAAAATCTCAACTTTCAAATTTCAAAGAAAAAAATAGATGCCTTTTAAGCTCTTTGAAATTCAAGAACAATTCATGATTGGCACTTTTCTGATGAACTTAACCCAACTTGTGAAAACTGGATCAATAATTAAAGTTTCTATTCCGCTGGAAATCTTAAAATAAATTTGACTTTCGAAACTACAAATCGTTCACGTTTTTTCGAGCCACTTTCAGGTACGTATTTGGAGAGTGCTATGAGCGTAACTTTCAGCAGATGAATTTCAATTGAACTCAAAAGTGCTTATTCATCTAAGTGTATTCATAAATGTATTAATAAGTATGAATGCACATCTGTAGTTCTTAGAGCATTTAAGGAATTTTTCCATTAAAAAAAAATCGACAAGACCTATACAAGAGTCTTCACTATGTTCATTACTCTTAATAAGGCTGTCACAACTTATGTACAGAATAAATAATGTTGATTGAAGTCTTAATCTCATATTTGGTAATACAAAAATGTGTCAGAAAAACCCAATTGAAAATTTCGAAGGCCGTCGGGTACGGTAAAAAGAGCCTGGCGGAATGTGCAGCGCACAAGGGAGCAGCCAGTCTTTCTATCTCTTTTGTGAAAACAATGATACTACCAGAAAAAGCACAAATATTTGCGACTAAGATTGGAATGAAATGTCCTGATAGTATCATATTACGATCAGCTTGTATAAATATGAATGTGAGTGAAATGAAAACCCTAAAACGTCTTCGAAAAGCGCTTTCCACTAACTAGTACGACGTCTTCGAAAAGCGCTTTCCACTAACTAGTACGAAGATCACAGACCACGAAACACGGTAGGCGACAAAAATTTCCACATTAGATTCGAATGGTTACAAACAGAGTCGAAGCTGCGCTTCGCAAACAGGCGAAGAAACGCCAGTCATTAGCTTTAGAAGGGTGAAATGAAATGTGCATTCCAAAAATCTCGCTAAGTATATTGAATTGAAAAATTTCTAATCTAGTTTTAATTCTTTTACTGTTATATGAAACTACTGACTTTCTTTACTTCGTTTGATAAAAAAAACATAGCCAACAGACAGTTGGAAGAGTCAATGAACGCAAGTAATCAGAAAAAATACTGACTTGTTTTTTGAAAAATACCCGTTTTCTATTTTCCGAAAAAAATAGATGGCCTTTGATTGACTCTTTTACAATAAAATTAACCCAATTTCAGAAAACTAGATCAATATGTTAAATTTAAATTGCGCTGGGAAATCTGCCACAGCGGCGACGTTGCACTTCGCATACACAAGCAAAAGTATGACCGATAACGCTACTGGGAAAACTGAATGAGTAAGACTTTGAGTCTACAAAATTTTCCTAAGTGACGCACGCCAATTATGAGTCCACATAATGACTAACTGACGCAAGCCAATTATGATGCAATAGCATACCAGTCAATTTGAAAAAAAAATCCCAACTAACATGCCTCACATTATAGAGCGGATGCATTTTAACTAGTATACGAAAAAATTCAATAAAAACATCCAAACCGGGCCAGGTTCGAACCCTCTTATTTTGTTGCGGATCTCCTTCCTTACCTCTACGCTACAGATCCATGATACCTTAAAGCTTATTTGTAATTTAATAGTCTGTGTTAATATCCTTAGCATTGGCTGCACTTAAAAGCTGGTTGTTGATCAAAATGAACACTACTATTTGAGACTACTTTGCTTGTGTAATAACTCAATTCCATTTCAAAATTAGAAGTCAATCACGTTTTTCGTGACCTATACACTTTGCTGAGCGATTGTAGAGTTTGCCCAACGTTTAACAAAGGAAATTAACTGAATTTAGGAAATCAAAAGTCAAGCCGCGAAAATGCAAACTTTAAGACTTTTTCTTTAAAAAAATCATCGCGACCTTGTATTAGAGTCTGAACTACGTTCATCGACTCGTAAAAAAGTAAGAACTGTGTAAAAAATATTACTAATGAAATCAAAGCATATGGCATTATAATGCCAATGCTGCCCTCTTCTTCAAAAGTGTCTCAAAATTAGCTTTATCACATTGGCAAAAGGGCCACCCAAAATAGCACTTTTATTTGCAACTTAAATGGAACAAAAGTTGCATCGTACTATCACACTACGCTACGCTTGTGTTAAAACAAACAAAATAAGCACGGATAGCCCGAAACAAACCCCTGTTGGGCGATGTTGTCCAAGGGTCTGTCGTCTTCAGCTGCCTTCTTCTCTTTGAACTGGCCGACTGAGAAGTAGTTGTCTCTGAGAAAGGGGTAGCTGTCCAGTAGTTTCAACATACTTCCATAGCACAGCAACATCTGACTCTGAATATAATACACATTAATGCCATTGTAAATGTATTCGCCATAAAATTAATTGCTATTTAGCGGCAACTATCCAACTTCCATAAACAGCTCAGTGACCCATGCAGGCTATGAATACGTCACGATATATGTTAAATTCGATTTTTCCAGGGAACCATTTCCTCAATATTCAACATACTTTTCCTCTTGAACATTACGCCTGCTCCTAATTCAAATGAAGATCAGAAACTTAGCAAACATATAATAGGAAAAGAGTCAATGAACGCAAGTATAACGAGAAAAATACGGACTTACATTTTTGAAAAAATCTCAACTTTCGAATTTCAAAGAAAAAAAATTTCTAGAACAATTTATGATTGACACATTTTTGATAAAATTAACCCAACATGAGAATACTGGATCAATGAGTTAAATTATTATTTCGCTGGGAATCTGATAATTAAACTCCTCTTTCGAAATGAAGTCGATCACAATTTTCGTGACCTTTACACTTTCGCTGTTCGATAGTGAAGTTTGCTTTCCTTTTAAAAAAGGAAATGAACTAAATTTGAAAACAAATCAAAAGTAAAACCGCGAAAAAGTAAATCTGAGCCGGATTAAATTTCATCACTTCGTTCATCGACTCTTAAATAAATGTAAAAAATTGTCTCAATAAAATAACTATCAAGTTAATTGGAATTGAACATTTTGAACTATAAACTCAGGTAGCATTTGGTACCTTGGCAGTGTACTCGCTGGTCTTCTTGGTGAGGTTTGTGCAGAACCAGCAGATGAGTTTCCTCTTCATCTTCTCCACCTCCTCCTGATTCCTCATCATCAGTGCATTCTGACTCTTCTTCTTCACAAACTCATTCATCATCAGGTCCCGCACGTACGACTGAAACACAGCACATACACCACGCTAAATAAACTCTAAATATATTCGAACCAAAAGTAAAAACAAATTTTTGCAGAAGATTTGAACGATCAAAAATTTTTACAGATTTCGAATCTGGGCAAAAAATATGTAGAAATCTGAAAACAAAAAATTTATGATTCCATATTTTTTGATGACCAGACTAGAGCTCTATGAAGTTAAATTGAGATAACACTTTCAAGGTTCTGAGGTCCACGTTTTAGAATCATTTTGAAAACCAGCTTTATTTTAGCTTTCCAATGGCAAACTGATTGATTTCAATTACGGTCGTAGCCAATTGAAGTTGAAACCTTTATTTTACCTTTTCTAGTTGTACTGAAATGAATGCTTCCGGCGTGTGTGCGGGGGGCGCTGGTGTCTTCGCAGCACTCTTGGAGTGCTTCAACTTAACACTATCTGCCGCCTTTTCACTCTCGTGCTTGTCCGCAACTCCAAACGGCTTAGTCGGCGCCAAAAGACCCCTAAAAGGTACGGTTCACTCCACTTTAAGCATAACGACGAAGAAAGAAAAATACCCAAACGATTTGAATGGAAAATTTTTGCCAAATTTATAACATCTACCTTTCACATAAAAGCCTTTAGAAACTTAACATTTCAGCTCGGTTCCCTAACTTATTTTGGGATCTACTGAAAAGCATTCATCAAGCAGTAGAAACAAAGATAAAATTTTCTTCCAAACAGAGACTAACCTTTTTGAATGCCCCGTTCCTTTCTTTGAGTTAGCCGCCATCAATCTCTCTTTCTCATTCACATAAGGCTTCTGGAATATCTGAGCCGCATTTAGATTCAATTCAGAGCAAACTTGCAACACATTGTCATTACATATCTGAGCCAGCAATGCAACTTGAAGATTCTCCACACCTGTTGGACTGGACATCAACTTCAGCAATCCCTCTCTGGACCTGAAGTTGAAACTTCCCACTTGGTTGTCGTCCAACTCATGCACTGCTAGACTTAGAAATGAAGGAATGTATCGGTCAATCAGTGCACCGTCGTCTTCGCTTATATGAGACAAAAACGGGGGTGGATTTCTGTTCTTCTGTTGACCATATTCAAACTGATTTAGTCTCATGTACAAATGAAACTCGTCTATTTTTTCAGACACGCATACAGTTCTGTAGAGCTTCGAAAGCACTTCGCCTTCCCAGGCACTCTCCATTAGCCTATGTCTCAGAGTGAGGATCTCGAGCAGTCTAGACCAGTACAGTACCATCTGGTTCTGCTTTTCCACCATCGGCTTGCGGGATCCATCTTCATCAACTGCCAAACTGTGGCCAACTTCGCATACAAACAGAGGGTCTTCGATAAACATGTCAGCGTAGAGCTAAGAAGAAATCATATAATTGGGAAAAAAAATCATTTTTTAACAAATCGTTTTAGAAAAACAGGAAATTTTCACTAACTGTATTTTGTGCGATTGTTCCGATTTGAAAAAAGGAAAATATGCTTACCTCCTTTTGCACTTGGACAGAATAACCACCTCCATATGGCGGCAACGCATCCCATTCCGCATTGGCTTTTTCCAGGAAAATCTTATTCAACGCCAACGTTTCAGTCACAGTCATCGGTCCAACGTGATCAACTGCTCCCTGGAATCCATGTCTAAGGAACGTCTCCAGACCCGCTATGTGAGCTAACGTGGGGTGGAATTCCAGCAAGTAAAGGGGTTGCAGATTACCTAAGTTGTTATGTAACAACACCGGTTGTTTCGGAATAATGTTCATCGGAATTCCGTAGAACTCGTCACCTTCTCGACAGATCCGTGAGACGTAGTCGCGCTGCGTTTCAACGTGACTTTCAATCAACTTCCGAACTAAGTCTATTTTGAGGGACAAATTTATAGTTTCCAGTCTGTATATTTTCACGAAGTACGAATCATTCGGGTCAATTCGAGGCCTTAGATGAATCAAGTCAGTGACAATCTGCGCAAGGCGTCTTTGGTCTTCGATATTCAGCGTGTGATGGTAGCATTCCATGTACAGGTCGATCAGCTGTTGTTTCTTCTCCAGGAATTGAAACTCGCAATTCCAGAGATCGAATAAAACTCCCATTCGATCAACCATTTCATGTCCATATTTGGACAACTTGTGAGATTCTTCTGCCATTTTGGATTCAGAGTCGAGAAACTAAAAAGTAATCATTGCTTTATTTTTTTTCAGTAAAAAACAAAATTCCGATCCAGGGATTGAAACTACTTTGTGCTAACCGATCCTTGTTTTGATTTTTTGAACATTTGCTCCGATCTTTTGAAGGATTCCCTCTCCTTCTGAATGAAGTATGAGCCCATCAACAGCAGGTCTTTCTCCAGCATACTAAAAAAAACGTAACATGCCGAATGGTTTTCACTTAAAATCCTCCATCAAAAACTGAAGTTACTTGATGATTTCGGGCATCATCAAACCACATACTTACATCTCTCTAGTTTTACTGTTTCGCAGCTTATATTTCAAGACAGAAACATGGCTTGCCACTGCTCTATAGGATTGGTTTATTGTCTAGAAATCATTGCCGAATATTTGTCAGCCAATATATTTCCTCCACATCTCGAATATTCAAGTTTCTGGTGGAAAAACTCTGTTTTAGCTGATTTTAAGTTAACGATGAATCTACCTTGCTAGTAATTCGTTCGCTGTACAATTTTTCATATTTTCCCTAGAGTTTGAAGAAAAAGCGCGTGGCTTTTAATCCTGAATCTGTACTACTTCATAGGGCTTTTATAGTTTCTAACTTACTGGAAATCGGACACTGCCACATCATACATGATGTAGAATCCCTTCTCGTCCTGCACGTGCACTCGTGTACTGCCACTAGTCCCGACCAATTCACTCTCTTCGCTCCCCATTGAGCTCTCATTAATAGGCTTTTCGTACTTATTACCCACAAAGTAGTAGTCGTCGTGGTTTTCCACGTCGCTCAGGTCCATGAATTTGGAGGCATAGATCTGATAGTCTGCTGGCGTGTTGTACAAATACGCGTGGGATTCCAGTGGATTGGGTCCGGATGCAAGGTGGTATTCCGGTAGGTCATGTTTATCTTGAGGTATCTAGACAAAAAGTATAGCCAACTGAGTTTCGAAATTACAAGTCGATCACGTTTTTCGTGACCTTTACACTTTTGCTGTTCGATAGTGGAGTTTGCCTTCCTTTTAACAAAATAAAAGCACTGAACTTAAAAAGAAATCACAAGTCAAACCGCGAAAAATCAAAATAAAAAAAAATCACCAAGACCTATATAAGAGTACTCACTACGTTCATTATTCATAATAACAGGCTATAGATATTCATTTCGAGCACGCGATATGAATAAACAAAGATTTGTCGCGACATTCAAGCATCTTTCACATTATGCTATGACCCTCCCCTAGAAACTTAAAGATCCTCCATAGTCTTCTAAAGGAAGAAAAAGATAATTAGATCTACCTGATCCAGGGATCCGTCAAGCGACACTCCATTATCATTTACGGTGAGGGTTCTCTCCAGAGACCTGAAGTAGTTCAGACTGGCGAGACAGTTCCTCTTCAGCTCCCTAATTCTCAAGTGGCGCAAGTGGATATAAGCCAGATGACCTCCTTGCAGATTGACTGTGTCTGAATCTGCGTCTCCCTCGTTCAGACCTACGGTTAGACATTCATTTGACACCTTACACAGATCTTCCTAATTTCGGAACGTCTATCTTTTACGGTCCAAAAATGATGCTTTTGATACTTTCATAACTTTATGCCTGAAGCTAAATGACTTGATTGAATTGACTCTAAAATGTTGAAATTTTATTTTCAGCAGTTCATTCAACGCTTTTCTAGTTTGAGCTGCTTTTTTCAATTTAAACTAACTCTATCCAGTCACTTTTTGGGCAAAATTTTGGGACTTTTGGACCAAAATCAGTTACCACAAATTATCATCCAAACGGTTAGAATGATATATCTTATTAAAACCCTTTCAGTCGAGATTCGAAAAAAAAAATCACTTCAATTTTTCCTTGTCGAGAAAAACAAAGAGAAAAGGCAACAGAAAATTATTCGCAAAAATAGGTTTTTTTTTCAAAACTTTTGTTTTATTTTCAATTTTCTTTGTTGTTTATTTTTCTAAGCTAACTGTTATCGATGATTCTTAATTGACTAACTTTCCTAGCGTTTGATTTGTTCTCTCATCACAACACGCACAAAAAAAACGGCTTTTTAAAAAAAACGGCTTTTTAAAAAAAAAAAAAAAACTTTTTTATGAATGGTCGGAACACAGAAACTACTTGCACAGAAACCGGCTATTCTTTGTTTACATGTGCATTTGAACCTGTTAATGTCTTGAAGCTATGAAAACACGGTGACATGATTTCTAATGTGGTCAACAAGAGAACAGCGTCTACTTTTTTGAACATAGCAACATAAAATCAATTACAAAAAATGATCGTCTGCTAATTATCCAAACCTGCATCTCTTATTATTCCTAGGAATCAATGATTTGATGAAACTGTTTCATTTAGGTATTAACTTGAAGAAACCGACAATAATTATAGTTCTTTTTTAGACATGTAGTACCTGTTGACTTTCCTGATCAAAAAGATGTATTAAAATAAACAAAAACATTCCCATAAAGTCTTTAGCACAAAGATTTTTCACTTGATCCCAGTTGAAAATATTTTGAACCAACCTTTTTATAGTTAATGCCAAATTGATTGCAACAATTTTTTGGTCCACGAAACTGAACAAAATTAATAAACTAAAACTGCATTTTGACGTCGAATTTCTGTGTTTTACTAATTTTTACACGTAAAAACCGCTTCCTGAAAACTAATTACTTTAAAAAGCTATGGTTTTTGACCAATTAAATTGCTCAAGGTCACCGATATTGTCAACAATTTGGCATAAATTATAGAATTTGATCAAAAAATGGTACATATACTAATCGCTCCACTCACCCAGCAACTGCAGAGTCTCACTGTAATCGTAACTGTTCACTCCCAGATTCTTCTTTTTCGACTTTCGCCTCGTCTTCGTCCCCCCAGTCCCATCTTCCTCCATATCATCCAAATCAGAGTCCACCTGCCGGTCACCAGAAGACGTGAACAGACTCTCGTTCGTGTAAATCTCCAGGAACAGTTTGTGAGTTCTGTTCTCACACCTAATCAATCATCCAAATGAGAATTTAAATTAATTTTTCAGTGAAAATATAGTACCTAGAGGAAACTAAACAACCACGAATTAAATCAGTTAACTTTACAAGTAGCAGAAGCAGAGCAGAGCAAAAAAAGTCAACTGACCTGTGACTGGCGACACTTGATGGCTCAATTACTCGGTTGATTCTCAGTGAAGTTGCCTGGTACTTGAGTACTCTTTGGACTTGATCGTATTGCTTTATCGACAGAAAGGCTGACTGGGCTTTCAACAACTGCAAAACAAACAAGGATAACCACACTGATCCAGGAAAAGAATTCAATAACAAAACAAAAAATTTTAAAACCGAAAACAAGTTTTTTTTAATCATTTTTGGGACAAAATTCTGTTTATTTTTTTTTTGGAAAGGTCCGTTAATAGGGTGAAAAAAAAAACAAGAACGAGTGGTAAACTTTGCCTAAAAACATGAGTTTAAAGTAAAAAAAAAATTTTGATGTCAAAATTTGAGCCTGAAATCGAAAATATTCAATTTTTCTCGACAGCGAGTGAACTTTTTCATTTTTTAAGAATCTGAATCACGACCAATAATTTGCTAAAAATTCAATTCAAACTTGAGAAATTCACGACCGATAATAATCTGAATCACGGGCTTTATCTTGATAACTTCAAGCTTATTTTGAAAAAAAAAATCAACTTGAGAATTTGAAAATATAAAAATAAGGGCTTTTCAAAATACAAAAATAACTAATTGAATTTCAACAACAATTTATGACACTTCTGTGCCACTTAATTAAAATCATCCGACCCTGCTCAGGTTTGACCCCTCTTATTGCGGGTCTCCTTCCCTACCTCTACGCTACAGATCCATGATACCTTGAAGCTAAAGTGCCATTTGTAATATAATAGTTTGTGTTAATTTCCTTAGCATTGGCCCTACTTAACAGCTGGTTATTGATCAAAATGAACACTTTCAAAAAGAACACATTTAGCCGCAACAATATATGCAACTTAGCTTGGAAAAAAAGAGATTTTATAAAATAACACAAGCTTTGCTTGTGAAAATAACGTAAAACTTACTCAAAGATTTTCACAGAGTCGAGGCTGCTCTTCGCAAACTAAGGGAGAAAGAAAAACCGTTAAAATTGTTGAAAAAGAATGCGGGGAAATTTTTTCAAATAAGTTAGGTACCCTTTCCAAAAACTTAAAAAATAGCCAAAAGACAGTTGGAAAAGAGTCACTGAACGCAGTAATGAAGGAAATAAACAGAAACAAAAAACATTGACTTGCTTTTTTTAAAAGATCTCAGCTTTCGAATTACAGAAAAAATAAATGACTTTAAATTTCTTTGAGTTTCTATAAAAATTATCATTGAAACTTTGCTTATAAAATAATCTTTGTTGATGAAATAATCTCTTTTATGCTGGGAAATTAGATAATTAGAACTCATTTTCGAAATTAGAAGTCGATCATATTTTTCGTGATCTTCACACTTTCGCTTTTCGGTATTTCAATTTTCTTTTTACGCAGTGGCGAAGCCGCGATTCTCAAACACTAGCGAGAAAACGACAAAAGCAGCTCTAAAAGGTGAATTAAGAAAAATTCTCAAACACTAGCGAGAAAACGACAAAAAAGCAGCTCTAAAAGGTGAATTAGTATCGAATGGGTTAGATTCGAACCAGCAAGCTCAAGATTTGGAGTCTCACTTCCTTCCATCACAGCCACGGAAATTTAACGATAGGCATACATAAGCCACAGAAAAAGCTGAGAACAGATGATATGAAATTTCCTATGCTACAGATTGTGATTATAATGTAAGCTCCACCAAATGAGCACATTTATTAGCGAGTTAGGTTGGATAGTAGAGTCTACTACTAGACTACGCTCGATGGTGTAAACAAAGGAAATTGACTGAAATCAAAAGCCTCAAAAAATCAAATTTGCGCCTGATAAAAAAAAACAAGCATGACCTTTATAAGGGTATGAACTACGTTAATCAACTCTTGACAACATTACTGGATGTTGAAATTCATTCTTCTCTCAACCAGACCCTCGATATTCGTACTTCTAGTCAAAACTTGTCACAATAGGTAAACAACGATTGAAACTAGGCCGAGAACTATTAAGTCGAACCTCATCTACAGATGACTGTGCTCTGAGTTGCGTGAAGAACTTGACTTGACCCGCATGCTCTATTCTGGGATTCATGGAACAGTGGTCCAACCAAGTGGCCTCTTTCAACACACAGTGGTCACTTGTATCTTTTCCCCAAGGTATTTTTCCTGCAAAGAAGGTTCAAATTGATTGTAATAAGTTTTCACGTTATGGCCTCGCTACGCAAAGTATTACTTGATTTATAATCATCATCAAGAAGTGTAACAAGTCTTTGCGACCATCTAGACAGTTAATAAGATTTCTCATGGAACGCCAGTTTTAGCGAGAACACAGCCAAACATCATTGTTATTTCTTTGTTGTCCTAATTAAGTGCTAACCTGAATCCATAGTCTCGTACACTGGAAACGAAAACTGGCTCTCCTGTTTCTGAAAGACACGCGAGAATATCTTGTTCACTTTTGAGAACAAGTCCATCTCATCTGCCGCTGATTCTATCATCTCAATGTCCGCTTTAATGCCGTAGCACTTGATCCACGCCTCCAGGAGCTTCGAGAGGTCCTCGAATGAACTGGTCAGATAGGGCACTCCCAAGTCACTGCAGCTCGAGTTAGGCTCACAGACTGAAAGGATCCATTTTCGAATACCGTCAGATTTGAAAAGTAAATAGATAATTGAGTGTAATCTGTATTCAGCAGACAGAAGAGCAGTTACATAATAAAAATATATTCTATTCTGATGGGAGCAAAGATACATTGACCATATTTGATGTTCGTACTTTATCAAAAAAATCTTTTATGCGGAGTCAGTTTACACTTAATACAACTTCAACTAACCATAATCACCAGCCAGTACAAATCCTTGTTGACTTCCATATATGGCAGCAGGCTGACCGTCCGCAGCTGCTGCAGTCAGTGTTGCCCCGCTAGAAGTATACATGGTTGAGTAATGTTGTGATTCTGAAGTGTAGGCAGAACTGGCTGATACACTAGTGCGGGCATCGTCATTTTTGCTGCTATGGCCTGCATTTGCTGACTTTTGATGCAACAGGGATCCGTTATCCCCGTAATCAGTTCCTTCTTTCTGGTTAATCAAAACAAATTATAAAACCGCATTCTATCAAAAAAGAGCATAAAAGCAAATTTTTTTCCAAGCTTGGCTGTGTTAAGTACGAAATTGGGGAACAAATGAAAGCCCAGCTGTGGCATGAATGAATTTACCATCGTTTCCATGGACTGCAGCTCAGAGTCGATTGCTTCGAATGTGAGGTCGGATCTTCGGATCAGATGAACCCACTGTAAACCCTAAAAATAGCAACAAACTTAATGTGACGTGTTAAATTGGGTGACCGGCAAATAAGACGCGTCTTTAAGACGACAACCGTTTTTGCTGGGACTTTAAAACGACGCTACACGCAATTCTCCGCATTGTATTTCACATAAATTTAAACAGCTTAATTTTGAGCTGCTCGTTTTACGTAAAATAATGCGATTTGTAGTCTTAATGTCTTGTCGTTTTAATGGCCTGTGGTTTTATTTTCCTAGCACCGTCAAAGTGACACCACCTTTCTTTTTATGTTTTCCGGCAATTAAACCATTCCGAGAAAATCATTTGGCGTTTTTATTCAGGCAAAAAAAGGAAGGGGGTGAAAGTTTAATGCTAGCCTTGTAAAACTGATTGAAGCGTTTAGTTGCGTGAAAATGCGTGATGATCCATTTCGTGAAAATTTGAAAATCATCTTCTTGGATCGCATTGAAACCCATTTCCATTTTGTTGAACAGATGGCCGTCTCGTGCAACAGATAGTCTTTTTGCCCTGCTGATGAAATCATTGTACTGCGCCAAATTGTTTCCTAGTCGTTGACGATATTCAGGGTACAACTTCTCCGCATCCTTCGAAGAATGAATGAATCGCTTCCATCTCAAAAGATGTTTATATCGGCACACAGCAGTTTCTCGGACAGAGTTGACAAAAAACTAAAATCAAATTAATTCGAAATATTATGTCGAGCCAGAAATCACTGAAACTTTTTCAGTAAAAATTAGTCTTACATCCAATAAAATGAAGGCGACACCGTGGTTTGTATATTCTAACTTCAAAGAGTCGTTCATTACTTCCTTCATTATTTCGGACTGTATTTTCAGCGGCTTAGCTCCTGGCACTTGCAATGCTCGGTCAATAGTCAATTGACGCATCTTCCGGAAGTGGTCACAGCTAAGAGGTATTTGAGCAGTCGAAGAAGCCCGCGGCGCCACCCCTAAGCTCATTTCAAAGTCTTCCAGATCAGATTTGAAATTATTGAACTCCTTTTGGAACTCATTTTCGAGCAAACGCGCGCGGTTTGTGGAAGTCGACTGATAAAGTCCGAACTCAGTAGACATATTTCTACATTTGCATTCCTAAAAAAATTAGCTGCTAAGTATTACACAGGTGAACCGGAGCTTTGTCCCACTTGCGAAAGTCACAAAATCGAAAATTTCCGAATAACAATTTGTCTCGAACGAAGCTTGTCAAGAGACACGCCAAAGATACTATTGCCGGCAATAAGCCAGCCTAGGATTTTTACAAAATTTAAAAAACGGTACTTAAGCCGACAATAACAGACCGTTGCGCCAAAAGAGAAAGTATTTTACTTAAAGATTTTCGCATTAAGAGGCTACTAAGCCAAGATAACAAACGCCCTTTAGCCTGAATAACCTTTTAGAATAAAAAAAAACTAAAATAACTGATGATTGTTTTTCTAAACGAAATTTCAGTATCCCTTTGTCAACTGGTTGTCCATTAGTCAGTTCTTCCACCTTGTCTTGGCGTTCAATCCTTGGGAACCATATTCTCCGACATACCAGGCGGATCAAACTAAATCTCCCTCCTATCACGTGTCGCATAATTCATCATATTCTGCATGTTATCTCCAGATCCTACTGTCGTCTCTACATGGCGGTGTTACTACCAACAAGTTTTCAAGTCAAGTCAAGTCAAGTTTTTATGACCATTAGGCAGTGCCTCTTGTGGTCATTTCAAATGTTTTTTTCCTATCTCCGTTCGAATTCGTACATGTCAATTCCAATCGCTTTCTAATGTTTGTCCAGTTTCCACTTGAATTTGTCGTCATCACTGTTCATCAGCAGTATCCCTTTGCTTGAATATACAAGGGGAGAGATCCCTTGCCTGGTGGGGCTAAATTTAGGTTACATACATACACCCACTTTTCAGCACAGCATATCGCTATTTTCTCGGAAGCTTTCTTCACATCGATGGATACCCGTTTCAGTCCGCTTCTTTTTGTTTGTAAGTAAGTAATATTTGATGCCAATTGTTCAAATGCTTCTCTAAATTAACTTTTTTTCATCTGATGGCAAAACATGCAACTCCTTGCCGGTTAAATTAAGAAAATTTGACATGACTACTTCGACGTTCAAGAAAAGCTTGAAAAAGTTCTACCCAAGTGAAATGCAATCTAAACATGTGTACGCAAATTAATACTGGTCGTGAATTCTGGGTGCCGGACATCAAGCCGACGTGACTTCAAACCGGATCGTAAAGTTACGGTCTTCAAGCCGAACATTTTCTCAAGAGTCATAAAACACGATTAAATTGAAGACTTATTTGAAGAATTTCATTTCATGATCCATTTTTTGGCTTTATTATAAAATTTAATTCGCTAATTGATGTTTAGTAAAGTTAACAACTAAAAAATTGTTGAAGGCGTGAAGGCGTTCTCATGCTTATAAATTATTCATTTCAAAATCCGGGTGACGTAAATAACGGATGCCATTCCTAAGGGGTGCATTGTCATAAATAACTCTCCGACTAATGGGAAAAAAGTGTATTGAGGTGTCTGTCAAGTTTAAATTTTGGCCTGAATTCCCTTCGGCTTAGATCACGTCGGCTTGTTGTTTTGGGCTCCAGTGCTAAATGAAAAAATATCTGAGCTGGAAAAAATTTCGGAGGTTATTGATAAGCTGGAGGCACATTATGGGTTTTGCCTCCTGAAAGACTGCTTTAGCATGCCGAAACTCCCTTTTTAGCGTAGTCTTTGTTTTAAGCAAAATGATTTGAGTGAAAAAATACGATCAAATTTTGAGACATTCTTTATGCAAGGTAACAAATGTAAAAGTGAATGATAGCCAAATTTTGCAAGCAGTTCTGCCGGCCGCCCAAGGCTTTACCAGCTTTTTTAGCTTCAGCGGTAGGAGCGTAAGCTGCTTTTTGTGAAATTTTGGTTTGGAGCACGAGGATGGAACATATAATGATGCATAAGAATTTTGGTTAGATTCAGCAAAAATAGAGGTAACTCCGAAAAATGAAATCCAAATAAAAACTGGACGGAACCCATTTTTGATCAAAAAAATTTCTCAAAGGATTTTGAAACTAGAACCTACTGAAGTAAAAAGGTTCAAGGTTTGTCAGTATAAGTTTTGATGACAATGGTTACATACCGTGTAAAAATCTAAGGTTGAAATTGTCGAATCAGCAGCTCAGAATTGCAATTGGACTCCTCTTAGGTTCAAAAACAAGAAACGGAAGGTGGATGGCATGGCCTATCTTGTCTGAAAACTCAGGAAGATTCTCCAGGCTTTTCAATTTGAAAGCCCTTTTAAAGCAAAGTCTCACCTCCAATCATGTTCCTATTATTTAAGAGCCACGACACCTCCACAGGACAGATCAGAAGCGACCAGACGATTTGACGGAGATAATGAGTGGGCAAATGAACGTGGTAAAGACGTATTTGAACACCAGGTACAGGCTGTCGGATCTCCTAAGGGCTCAACGAAATGAGAGAATGACGAGCAGTCTGAAAAGATGGATCGAGAATGGAGCACCTGACAAGGGAGACTTGGAAGAAGACAGCTACAAGATCTTGAAGCAATTCTACCTGAAGCGAAAAAACTTGTTGTACCTGAATAAGGACGGGATCGTAGCCTGTAAACGGAAAGAGGAGGAAAAGGTCCTTTATAAATTTAATTCAATAGTGTTACCACAGTTGTAGCAGACCGAACTGCTCTTTCGTTCACATGATCAGATGGGCTATCAAGGAGTGGACAAAGTGTATAACAGGATACAGAAACGATTCGAATGGCCGGGATTGAAGAAGGCTTGTGAGAAGTGGATCGCCGCATGCCTGTCATGTCAGCAGGCGAAGGATCCCAGGAAACTAAGGTTCCCCCTACAGTCAATAGTGTCGTCAGGTTTCAACGAAGTGGTGCAAATTGATCATCAGAAAATCTGCATGACAGCAACGGGCTATAATCAGGTGCTGGTAATGATCGGACAATGGCAAAGCATTCGTGGGTGATCTCACGAAGGAGTTAATGAAAAGGTCGCAGGTAGCGCAGGCCCACTCGATCACTTATCACCTAGTCCAGATGCAAAATCGCACACTGGTATCCATGCTGAGAGTCTATTGCTCGCGTTACATGGATGACTGGGACAAGCACTTGCCGCAAGTGATGGGTGCTTACAACAGCACGGAGTATTCCACCACGGGAATAAATCCGCACATGATGCTAACGGGTCACGAAAAAGCGCTCCCGTTGACGTTTTTCTACCCTGAATATGAGGGGAAGAGGGCAGCCCCTCAAACGTACGTGCGGGATGTTATTAGAAGACAGGAGGACCTCAATGACTTATGCAGGAGGAACACGCAACAGGCGCAAATCAGACAAAAAAGGAGGTTTGACAAAAGGACAGCCGATGCGAAAAACTACTCAGTTGGCGACTACGTCTGGGTGTTCCAGGAAGTGGTTCCACCAAAAGGAACCAAAAAATTATTAAAGAAATGGCGTGGTCCATTTCAGATAACAGACGTGCACCAAGGGGGTCGTTTTTATTGACTGAGCACTGGAAGAGCAGCTCATTACGAAAATATTAAACCACACAACGCCTCGTCAGAGGACTGGTGTATCCCAGTAGACATGCAAGAGGGAGACTATTTGATAGTGGATCCTGCTTGTGAAGTGAATGAAAGGTGGTGGACGATTGCGACCTACCACTGGATCTGGAGTTGACCGAGCGAGTAGAGGTGGACGAAAAAACTCTACCTTATGCCGAGGAAGACTGGGACTGCCCGGAACAAATTGAAATTGACAAAGGAATACAGCCTGACTTTCCTCTCACCATGGAAACACGCCAGAGCAAGAGAGCAAAAAACAAGAAGAAATACAATCCGTAAGTGATATGATGGACTCGCTGGTAGGACTGGACGAAGTGGCGGTGCTAGAAGAAATCGACTTGGTGAAAGACATGGATCAGGATTGGATCGACGATCGATCAGAACCAGAAGTGGAGTTCGAACCCGAAGCGGAACAGACTCATGAGCAAGAACTAACGAACTTGCACGTGCTCGAATGGCTCCATGATCTGCCGACAGATCCAAAAGAGACGATCCTGACGATTCAGGAAGTCGATAAAGACGGCATCAAATACATCAGTCGTGACAATACCGAGTCCAACTGGGTCGCCCCAGATGTTCCTCTACGTGTTCCACAATCCAACCTCGATCTCCTAGACTTTGGGCGATCGACGGGGACGTCGATGAATATTTTTGTCCGGGGAGTGGGGGTAGGACTCACCCACACCAAAAATCTGATAATAAAAAAATTGAAATCGGCAAGAGAAACTGGAGAACTAGAGACAGAGGGCGAGAATGCTAAAAAACCACCTTTTGGACGAATTTTTGAATCGTATTTTGACCTACCGAACCATTATTCAAACAATATTGTCATAACGGAAAGCGATTTCATACTTACAGAACGCACGTGCGCCATAGCGATAACCGCGGACGTAAGCTTCAAAACAGCACTAGCGGCTGATTTCAAAAGAGAGAGTAAGAACATCGAGTTTTTATGGAAACAGAGGCCTGGTGTGGAAGGGATGATAGCGCTGCCCCCTGTTGCATCACAGATACCAGGGAAATATTTGTGTTTCCTGGTTACCAAGGCCACTGCTAGGCAACACGTAGATCCAAAGAGCTTGGTATTGGCCTTGACTCGACTTAGGGATTTTTTGGTTGAGAGAGGAGTGACATCTCTCTCGTTACCAGTATATGATTCTAATAGGGGAAAGCTACATCCGAAAGAGTTGTACGCACTTGTGCATGTGATATTTTCAGAAACTGACATAGAGGTTTACTTACATAAAAAATACTATCTGAGCATATGCTAGGAATTGCGTTTGGCGATAAGTGGTTTTTATTAGGTTACTTGATAAGAATTAGTGTCAAGTTTTAGATTAGGTTAGGTTTTAGGTACAATGTTAGGGATTAGGTTTTTATGTGATAATATAGATGTATGATGTTTATGTGTTTATGTGTTATGTTTTTGTTATGATATGTTTTATGTTTCGTGTCATAAAAGACCTAGAGTACTCCAGGTCCTCAAGGTGACAGCGCTCATTG